ATTATCAAACAAAATCATGAAATCTTGTATAAGACTTAACTGAAGTACATATGCACTGAAAATGATTACTTTATATTTCTCTCCCAAAAAGATGGGTTTTATGTAAACTAATATTTGTGCAGGTCAGGTCATGAGCTATGAAATCACCTCAAAGTATAGAAAATAATAATTTGAGCAATTTACCCCCCCCCCCCCCCCCCTCTAAGACACATATTCCCTTCTTCACTTAGATGATGTGTTTATTTTGTACATGGAGTATCATTTCTTGTTCTTAAAGCCTCTGTAAAGTGTTGGGAGCCCCAAATTCGCCAGAAATTTGATGGCAAAATTTCATTTAAATCGTATCATAATGTGAAAGAGGATGTAATTTAAGACACACTTCTGCAAATATTTATCCCCCCCCCCCAAAAAAAAAAAATGAGTTTGAAGACAAATATTGATTAAAGAATACATAGTTTGGGTTTTCGGTTGTACGCAGAACCTAAATTTGGTATTCTTTCATCAATATTCGACTTCAAACACATGTTTTGGAAAGCCTTGCAAGAAATGTGTCTTAAATGACATCCTCTTTCACATTATGGTACAATTTAAAGACCATATCCGAACTGACAAATGAAATGGATGAATTAAATATCAATGGAAACTTATAAGCCATATATTACAATGATATCAATTATATGCCATTTAGTGTCTGTCAGAGGAGTATCAGCTCTCTGAAAACTCAAAATCTAAAGCTTTGAAAATCGGAAGTTGTCTACCTAAAAACTTGCTATTGACTTGATGACATCAGTGGAGTATGCATATTCACAATGACTTTGCCTTAATTAAGCACGGCTCATCGCCTCAGCTATATAAGTGAACCGGTCGGGTCAACATGTTATGTCGTCACTGTAATTTCGGCAAATTTGACCCCTGTTGACCCGTAATTTGGAGGGAGTGCGGAAAATGAGGTTTTAACTTACTTTTGTGCAATATTAAAAGGGTACATACTTGTTATTCCTTTATATTTTTTTCTACATTCATTCAGTCTTCCATTGATATCAAGTTGTATTTTTACCGGATAGGGTCTTTGAATTACTGTTTTTATCTCAGCATTACAAATAGCAGATTTCGTAGAAGAGTTACGGAAAAAGAAATGTCTGTGTTCATTTCCACCTGTGGGATAAAACATCCTGGCTAGCCAGGGACACATGATGAAAGTAATCCGCTTTATAATTCATGAGGAAGTTCAAATCCTTTTCAGGAACCTCATCCAGGGCTGAAAACACGATCATAAAATTTGGATTTGAACCGTCTTTGAACGGTACATTAAGTGAAATCATCAATAATTCACAAGCATCAGGAAGTTTGTTCTACTCTGATCCTCTTCCGGGGGTTCTAGTTTGGGTGTATCGATGGACAGATCTCGATCAGACAGGCTATGAAGTCCTCTTTCCTGTGTTACCATTGTGTGTATTGACTCATCATGGCTCTCAGCAAGACAGTCCTCATGGGGGTGGGGTGGGAGAGGGGGCTAGGTTGAGACAGGAAAAAGATTTACTTTACTTCCAGGGTATACTCTTACACAATTGCGGGCTCAGAAATACAATTCAATATTTGAAAAATATTTATTATGGTGCACGTGACGTGGTTGTGTAACCTTGGCATTTCCTTTTACTTTAAAAAACAACAACATTATCTTTACTGCGGAATAGAAATAAGATTTACACATGTTTTTAACAGCATTGCAAATTTCCAATACTGCAACACAATATGGGCAAGTTTTGAAATAAATTGATGTTATCAATAAAATTAGAGTTCCGCCGAACTGGCTTAGATTATTATAGTTCTTATTGCGAAATGAGAAGAGCTTTGGAAAACGATACATAAAAGTGAGACAACATTCAGGGCATTTCACACTGATGTAATGATACTGGTGTTCCAACCATTATATTAAATGATGGATGATGGATTCAAGGGGTATAATGAGCAGGAGCACCCCTCCCCCTCGGCAAATGTGATATATTAACAACAATTAATTTGTTCGTTTACCAATCTTCCAACAATAATTGTTGTTTTCACTGTATGAGTATGAACGAAAATTAGTGGAAATGTGCTGCACATCAGTTTATCTATATTTTTTTAAGATGGGGGGGGGGGGGGGGGGGGAATTGGGCACCGATTGTCACAGTATATATTTATACCCACGCCGGATATAATTTGACCTAATCTCTTCTTTTTTACGAATTCCCCACATTATTTTCATGTCGGAACAAACGATCCAAACTCTTGCAATTTGTAATCAGATTATACTTTTGTATACACTAAAGAGTTAATACTGCAGGTATCGTTTCGACACCACCAAAACGTCAAGACCTATATAGAATAAACCTTGTGCAGACATTTACACTTTCTTCTGTAACGATTCATTTCACTTTCCAGATTTGATGTACCCGTTCATCTCGGAAGTAATAAATCCCTGGTTAATCATAAATCGGAAAGGTTGCACGACTTTGTATCGGCCTAAGCAGCAGTAAAGCGTGATTGTCGAAATCGTTTTATGATGGTTTACTATGATAGAGTAAGCGAGAGGGGGTAATGAATGTAGCTTATTTTGGAATCAATCTCAATATTCGACGTCATAAACGATAACAAAATATGCTATGATGATTTGATCACCTTTTTCATGTTTAATCCTTTCTCAATTGCATGGATTTTATGCCATTTGATATCTGATATTGTTTTTCTTCTCGTCCTCACATAAGTCATAACTCTCTTCCCCCGTAATACTAATTTAGAATCACCAAAACAAGTAAACATTTAAAATTACCATAAAAACTATATTTATATACATGTGTTGCTTTCCATTTCACTACCGCTAACATCCTTGACTAGATAATAAATGAATCGCTTCCAATTTAATTCAACTTTATGGCACTAGAAACGCTTATTGATGAATGTGCTTATTGATATCCATATTCATGTTAATTTGATCAAGATTTTTTACATCACCTTTTATTACTAACATGACAAGGTTCTTTTGTCATTATTATTCTTCCTAAATAATTACGACGCTGAATTGAATAAGGCAACCTCCTTTGAAGGTTGTTCTATATGCTCAGTTGCTCACATAAAAATGAACACGATCGATACTCGACGAAAATGGCAAATATAAACTTTTCCCAAACTGGATGACATTATAAAGTGTGCGTGACTCTTGCATGGAGGAACATTATCAAACCGTGGTAGATGTCCACATGTATATGAAGAAAAAAGCTAAACACATCGGTCCGCTTCTGTTCTCTTGTTCAAAGATCTCGAGAAAAAAATGTGAGATTGAAACCAATTCTTCAACCGTCACGTGAGAGTCACGTGACCAGGTGAAGAGAGATAAATATCGCGGTCTCCGATGATAACGAGGCAAATAAACGAAGTACATGTACGATGAAAATGGTGCAATTGGGAGATTTTAGAAGGAAAGTGGTGGTGAATTAAAGAGGAAAGCAGGAACGTTAGATGAGAGGGGAACATGGCATAGATCCGGTTGTTTAGAACAAAGTTCACGATGATGTGGGCATTAATCAAATTAATGATACGGCCGATTTTAAATGAGACGTCTTTATGGTATGAGTATATGCCGCATAGGAAATAGCGGTCGAGATAATGAAAACAGAGTAATAAACTAGATGTAAAACGAAATGGCAAATTGAGATACTGAATATATATATTTTTTTAATTCTCCTTTGTTCTCTTTCTTTCTCGCTCGTGCCTCCCCCGTCCCCCTCCTCTCTCTCTCTCTCTCTCTCTCTCTCTTTCTCTCTCTTTCTCTCTCTGTGTCTCTGTGTCTCTGTGTCTCTCTCTCCCCCTCTCACTTTCTCATCTTCTTCCTATCTCTTTCCATTTCTCTCCTGTCCCCTTCTTTCTTTATACGTATCCATCTCCCCCTTAATTGCTCCCTCTCTTTTTTCTAGTATTTCCTTGTCCTCCACCTCGTAGTTTCTTTTTTTTTCCCAATTTTTTTAAATCTGGAAATCAAGTTACACGGTTAACACAAGTTACATCATATAACATTATAAGATGGGTAGAAGAATCCCTGGAATCTGATTGGTCAATTACCATGTAATTATTTTTACTGGATGCACGCGATATCGGCGATCGATACCACCGATACCTTTTTTGAAAAATAAATCTTTTTTTTTCTTCTTTTTTTTTTTTAATGATTTTTTGGATAACTTTTTTTTGTGATAATTATTTGTTTTTTGTGTTTTTTGATAATTATAATCTGTTAAAAAAAATAATATATTCCATTATTTTTTTTTATTTTTTTAATATTTTTAAAAAAAGTTTACAGTTTAATGTGCACTGACATTTTTTTTTTTTAATTTCATGATAAGTTAAAAATCATGCGTCCGGTAAAAAAATCATGCCTCCGGTAAAAAAAAATCATGCGTCCGGTAAAAAAAAATTGACCGGACGCATGATTTTGCCATGCATCCGGTAAATCTGTAAAATAACAACATTTTGTATTTTTGACAATTTTTGGGGCCCCATCTTATAAAACAGATGATACACAGGTTTAATTCGTGGGTCGGTGGGATTGTGTGCACGCGGTACCTTTGAATTTGGTCTAGAACCATTCAAAGGTACCTTGTGCACACAATCCCTACCGACGCACTCAAACCTGTGCATCATTTGTATACAGTGAAACAGTTTTAAATTGAAAGTATATAAGAGGAAGATTCCGAATTACCTTTGAAATGCCATGAGATGAAAATTGAAATCATTCATTGCTAATGCTTACGGTCACAAAGGTTCGTACGAACGATGCGTTCGTACGAATCTCCCTGTTATCCATTGTCTTTCCGAATTTCCATTGTCTGAAAATCGTTCGTACGGCGTTCGTAGCAGTTCGTAATGGTATTTGTGACCGCGATTAAAGGCTTATAATTATCATAGTTTAAAAAGCAAATTTCTTCTTATTATTATTATGATTATTATCATTCTTCCTCATATTTTTGTAGTTCTCTTCTTGGCAGTCGACGGAGACACGTTACGTTCTATCATGCTGAATGCCTATGACCTAGACCTCCTCAACGGAGACTACGCCTTCATCAACATCATCCCATTCCGTGACATCGACATCTTCGGTAATGATTCCTGGGAAAGGGTAAGTTTATCAGGGGTGTATCCATGCAGAATTTTCGTACCGGGGGGGGGGGGGGTTAAACAACAAAATCACCGACAAGCAAGTTTTTAAAAACGCGATCACATCTTTCGGGTCGAACTTTAGGGTCTCAAATTGAGAGGGCCATAAAGCATGATAACATGAAAGCACAGTTTGTTGCTGATGGTGGTGATTGCTGTTGATGTTGTTGTTGCTGTTGCTATTGTTTTGTATTTAAGGTATGCACTTCGGGTCGAGAGGGCACGGGTTGGTTGTGCTCCCCTCCATCCGACACTGAGTCTATAATGGCCCGAATTCACAAAGGAGGTTTGTCGACAAACCTTGGTTTTCGTACGTCATATGACGCGTTTTACGCGTTTTTTACAAACCTGGTTTGTGAAGAACAAAAGGAGGTTTGGCAAAACAAAAGGAGGTTTGAGCTCAAACCTTGCTTTGTGAATTCGGGCCAATATATGCCAAGATGATACCTTCTCAAAGCATGATAGGGCCTCCTTAGAACTTAGAACCCATGGGTGGTGGAGCATGTGAAAAAAAGGTGTCGGGGTGCCGAATTCATACTCATAAAATTGAGAGAAAATGGGAAGAGGGAGAGAGAGATATAAATATATATATATATATATATGGGAGAGAGGGATGAGAGAGAGAGAGAGAGAGAGAGAGAGAGCGCGCGCTGTATAGTTGCAGAGAAAGACAGAGAGAGAGGGTCGGAGAGAGAGCACCAGGGAGAGAGAAGAGAGAAAGAAGAGTTAGAGAGAGAGAGAGAGAGAGAGAGAGAGAGAGAAAGAGAAAGACAGTGAGATATTTTGAAGATTATGAGATCAGACCATAGACCTCTATGATCAGACCAAGAAGTTACCAGCAACATGACACGTTTTCACCTTTGAACCGGCACATTTTTTTCAATACTGGCGGAGCAGTTTCGTTGAGCTGTGAAAATATGAAGGAGGCGATTTTTTTTTCTCCATTTCCATTACCAGGGTTACGATTTTTTGCTGGTTAAAAATGTTCGAAACCGACCTCAAGACCAATCCCTATAATGTCTTAGAGTTCACTGAGAGTATTAATCTGAAGACACCTTGTTTTTTGTTTTGCAATAAAAAAATTATGTTTAAAATGGTAAAATGCCTGAATTTACACGATTTTGTGAAAAGAAATCATTCTTTTCAAAGCTCCAATTATTACATTTTGCAAAACAAATTTGTAAAAGTAAAGTTACATAAAATAGTTACACTTGTATGTCTCCGGGAGTATTCCTACCATAATGGACACCGTAAGGACATAGGCAAGTACTAAAACAAATGCTTTCGTCATCCTACCGCGTCCCCATTTATCTCCTGAGTATTCAGTGGCAAATGTAGATTAATGCATTGCCAAAGGACATTAGTGCCGTGTCAGAGATCGAACCACGACCTTTGAATTTCAAGTCAAATGCTTAAACCACTCGACTATGACACTGTCTTCCACAATTTGTTCATTGAGGTCAGCTTCTGAAATTACAGGTTTTAGCCTTGCGATTGTGCTTTTTCTTTTCATTGTGATATGTCACAAATATTTTCATCCATTTCCTATACTAAATTCAGGGCGCAAGCATAATAGGAAAGCAGCCGCATTTGTCTTGTTGAGTAATAATATGACTCGTATTTTGACTTTCACGTCATTGTAAGTTATAATGATCCATTTCATTTCATTGATTGCAAAACCTCTTCCAAACAGGGAGACGGCCGCGACGATCAGGCGAAGAAAGCATACGAAGCTTTGATGACGATCAGGGTATTTGAACCAACCTCGTCTGTTTACAAGGATTTTGAGAACGAGGTTATTTTGAGAAGAGAGATGAACTATAATATCACGATGGATCATGACAGAAGCTCGGTAAGACATTGTTTGCACGGATTCTACCCATCAATTCATGTTTGTCACTTTCCATTACGCTCTCATACTTCCCAACTGCAAGACCCTGTTGTATTTTGTCATTACAGAAATATATTTCTTAAATATATTCAGTCGATGGCGTATTTTCTCCTTGTTTAACGAAATAGCGCAAATGTATTCGAATTTTAAGATTGATTTCTTCTTATATGCACGCGATACAATTAGAGTAAGATCAAGGATATCAATTTCTTTCAAAAATCCACAAAGTGTGGTTAAAGAAATTATAAGATATATTTGTCTTTATCTAAGGCTTTATTTTTTACATGGCAAGCCTGTTGACATCATGCATGCTTTTTCCTTTTATTTCATTTTGTCATTCTTTTCCCCTCTCTACCTTTCTCTCTGTCTATTGATGTCTCTTGCTCTCTCCCTCCATTATCTATTAGTATCTTCCTTCACTCTGTTTTATTTTTCTTTCCTTCCTTGCCTTAATCTATTATATTGCTCTCTTTCTCTCTATATATTTCTCTCTCTCCCTCTCTATGTCTCCCTCTTTCTCTCCCTCTGACTCTGCCTTCCTGTTTCCCTCCTTTGCTCTCTGCCCTTGCTTATTTTCTCTTCTTATTTATTTATTACTTTCTGCTCTGACTGTTAAAAAGATGACTGTCAAAAATTGTCATAATTGCATTGGATCAAGATATTGCCGTAACAGATTTATTGAATTTCGCAAATACAGTATGTACACATCATTTATGGAATAAATCAAATACAGTGCTCTGAATATGTTCAACATTATGTTCGACATTTCAGACATAATCGCATCAGTCTTAATTAGATCCTATTTCATCCTATATGATTCTAGTAGTGTATCCTGAACTTTCACCTGACTTAATTTTGTAGTGATGTCTACCTTATAATAAGAACAGGCCTTTATTGAGTCAGTAATGCTTACATATAAATGAGGTCCAGATATATCTTGACCTGATTACATTAAATACAAAAGCTCGTATTATAGGTTGTGGATCCGTAAGTGCATTGGTATAGATAATTGAGTTTAATTCGCAACTCTTGCGAGCTGGGCTTTTAATATTGGCTACCTGTTTTGTGCAGTAATGTCTAGAATTAAACACTTGTGCATATAACGAGGGGGTACTGCGGCACATTTTGTTGGCGTTTGATATTGGTCGGCTATTGTATTTTTATAGGCATTGAAGATAGAATTACTCGAGGAAGAAATATGACACTCTCAAAAATCAGTTCATATTTAAACTGCAGTATGGACAGTTGTCGATAGCACTAATAGACAATGCTGCTATCTATCACGATCAATCGAAAATCTGATAAAAAGTGGTCACAACCTTTTGAAAAACAAGACTACCGAAAGGTACACTTTTGATCCGGTTATTTAAATTAAAGACATGAGCCTGCTATACTGAAGGGAGGGGGTGGCACTCGTTTTGCAGATGGTTCGTTAATCCGGAAACGAAATAGAGCACTGTTTCATTCGAAGGATCACAAACCCTGTTACATTATCATAATTGTGAATGCTATTTTGTTTTCGGAAATAATTATGAACCTTCGGAGAGGAAAAGCCCACATGGAGCCGAAATATTTAAGATATTTAAGATTAAATTGACGAAGGGAGAGAATTATTTTAATCATACAATCTATATGGTAATAAGAATGTGACAAAAATTTCACGAATGAATAATGATATTTAAAAAAAAAAATTCTTGGCAGATAACCTGAAGCTTTCTATGAGTATACAATTCATCTTTTATTCTGACTCTAATCTCACATTAAAAATGATTTTTGAACTTTTCTTTATTTTACACTGCAGCATATTTTTCTAGCTTCAGCTTTCTACGATATTATGATCCTGTACTCATTAGCTATCAATGAAACATTAGCGGAAGGAGGTGATGTCTACGATGGACATGCTGTGACAAATAGGATGTGGAATAGAACATTCGAAGGTAACAATTGAAGATGATGGGTGGAAAAAGAGAAAGAGAAAATGAGAGAAAGACAGATCAGAGAAATCGAGACTTTGTTTATGCGGGAGGGGAGAGGGGGTTTGAGTCCCAAACCTCCTCTAGAACCGTTACTGGTGGAAGGGCCCGACAGATTATTAAAGTCACGATATTAGAGCAACGTTGTTCCCATATTCGGACAATAAAGTGCCTGAATATCCTTACATTCGGGATGCGAGTTGGTAGAATATAGGTGGAGGTGTCGTGGTTTATTCACTTCGCTCTCACTCCAAGGGTTGAGGGTTCGAATCTCAGCCCAGTAATAACGTCATTTGGCATTCATTTTCTATATTTTGTCACTCTCCACCCAGGAGTGAATGGATAACTGGCAATAGTTGACAGGGAGATAATAGGGGCTTTTAGATTTGCGTGGACTGGTACGTGTGACGTCCATTCAAGGCAGTGCATTAAAGGACGTCGATCGTAGCGATTCACGTTGTCGTTGTGCAAATCTAAAAGTCCCTAATATCACAAGAACAGCAATGATGCTGGGGAGGCTTGCATGGGTAAACAAAATTATAACCAATAACATTATGAATAATATTATCAAAGAACATCCTCATAATTTATTCATAATCGATGTACCCAAATGTGTAATTTGTATACCTTATCTGATATTCTGATGACAAAAGCTCATATATTTTGTCACCATAACGGCATAAGATTTTTTTGTTTGTCTAGCTGACTTAACTATCTGCAAAATTTAGAACGAGAAAGTTGAAATTCGTGCAAGAAGCGTCAGCCCCCACCATTTTGCGAAATATGCTCCTACCCCTAGGTCCACATCTTTAAACAACCTGAACTTAAAAAGGTGCAAGACAACGATATACCGTAGGCATGACTATATTTCTCCGTCAATTTGCACAGGTCAGGAATCGATATTAGAACTAATGTTGATTGAGGTACCTCAGTCTCATGATATCTTGTGGCCGGGGAAAAATTATGAAACGTGCCATATTAAGCTTACTTTCTACGTTAAAATTGATGAATGATAAATTCATGATAGGTCGTACGTGTACATCGTGATATTCACTTTTCTTTGTATATTTTCAAACTATATTTATATAAATTTGGATGGCCTTGAGTGGTCAGCTGAATAGCGAAGGCATCGCGTGTTTGGAAGACCAGTGCGATGATATTTATAAAGAGTGTGTGATAGATCGCTACTTCAAACGAAACGGAGGTATTCATTATTGTACGTCATTTTTAATCAAAGATTTTGAGCGGACCAGAAGCAATCGGTATTCTTGTCGTTCCACTTAAATGTATTGGAAATATTGACTGGTCAGTAATGTAAACTGTGGACAGTAATAGGGCCCTATCGATCACATGAGAGAGAGAGAGAGAGAGAGAGAGAGAGAGAGAGAGAGAGAGAGGGTGGAACCACGTGTCGTAGACCTAGCATTTTTCAGTTGTATTTTGTCTGGGCCTTTAAACGGCAGGGGTGTACACCGCCCCACCCCTCCCCTTACACTGGATATGCCACAGTTTTAACAATTCATCGTAATTAATATTATTTTTTAATCCAAAAAACAATGCATCTTAACATTCGGGAAGGCCAATATTTTTGCTCAATAATTGTTCAAATTTTAAAAATCTCAAATCAAGTGCATACGATATTTCATTAGCAGCTCAAATCTCTTCCTCAGTAATGACATTGTTACTTTTGATTGACACAACGAGAGTTCGCACTCACTTGGTAAATATCACACTTGTCTTCAGCTTTTGCGATCCTTCTAATTGCTGTCAGGCCATTTAGTAAAAGGTAAATACATCTTGATATAATGTAAACTCGAAGTGATTGACATACTATACCTAGAAAAGGTCAACAAATTATCGCAAACGTATCCTAATAAGTTAGCTCCGCTTTTACATTTCGTTCAGCATCAGCATTTTTACATCAAAATGAGCAAAACGTTTCCTTGCATATTCCGAAATTAGCTGTTTATATTAATGCTTATACAGATTAGTCAAAAGATCATTTTCTTTTGTAAGCTCCTTCCAAATATCATTAGCCAAACATCAGCTTTCATTAATTTTAAAAGGCGTATTCAGTAGACCAGTAGACCGATATAAAAAAAAAGGGCAAAAGTTATCCAGGCAATCCCGGGGGCCGTAGACCAACTCTACATGTTGTGGATTTAGATAATTGCTACTTAGGAGAATATTTATTTGTTTGTATTTTTCTCTTTATATAACTGTATTTCAGGACTGTATGGACAGGTAGTGATCAATGAGAATGGTGATCGTGATTCTGAATACACTCTATGGGACATGACTGATACAGAAAACGGTACATTTGAGGTAAGGAATAACACATTGTTTTCTTTTATTGTCGCGATAGTCCTGATTATACATTGTAAATACTAATCTACTAATGAGTTACTATCACTTTTATTGTTAGTAGTATTTGACTTTACTAGAAAACGTGATTAGCACGAATGTAATCTGCTACGAAGTCCATATTACTATCATGATCACTATTAATATTACTATTAATATAAATATTGCGATTTATATTACTATTATTATTACTATTGATAATACTATACTATTATGGTTTTTTACCGTTGCTATTATTATTATCAATATAGTATTACTATTCTTACATTACTATCGCTATTATTATTTATATTTCTAGTATACTTCTACGGCTATTACTACTCATTCTACTACTACTACTACTACTACTACTACTACTACTACTACTACTACTACTACTACTACTATTACTTCTACTACTACTACTACTCATCTCTACTACTACTACTACTACTACTACTACTACTACTACTACTACTACTACTTCTACTCCTACTATAACTGCTGCTACGGCCACTAATAATATTACTTGTATACTACTACACTTACCATTAATACTTTGTCACTACTCCTTCTTATAACAACATACCTAGAGTTGCTATTGCTACTACTATTCTACCTTTACTAACGAAATTAAATTATTGGACTGATCTATTTTTATTTCGTATACACCTCCGCACATAGAACCCCCCCTCCCTCCTGCATCTTTCAATTGAAGACATCTACATCTAAGCGTGCCTTCCAGCTAGCTCCATCTCCCCGTTCGCTCTTCTAATTGTCGTATTCAAATTGTACTGACTTTCAGTATAAGGATGATCAGAATCCATCAATCACTACTGTTCTTCTTTGACAAGGGCAACAACCTCTGTTTCATCTCTTGTAGAATAACTAGACTTGATTGGATGTATAGCATATGATAAAAAAAGACAGAGAGAGAAAGAGTATTAAAAATACAGAAAGAAAGAAGAAATAATAAAGAAGAAGAGGAAGAGAAAGAAGAAAAAATAAAGAAGAAGAGGAAGAGGAAGAAGAGGGAGGAGGAGGAGGAGAAGAAGAAGAAGAAGAAGAAGATGAAGAAGGAGAGGAAAATAAGAATAAATAAATAACTATATAACAAGAATAAGAAAAATCGTTTTGTGCAGTTTCATAAGTCAATGTTACCTACCCATATGCAATTTCTTCTTCTTTATTTTGTTTTTCTTGCCAATATAGAAATCAGAGGATGATGTGCATGGACTTTTTGGAATGAAATAAATGAGAAACGTTTTTTTTTTTCCCTTAGGCGAGCAGCGATATAGCATTTAACTAATGCCTGAAAACGATTTTTGTCAACAAAATTGACCACTCGAGAAAGATATTACGTCAGAGTGTCAGGTCAAGTCTAATGGGATGACGTTCAGTGCTAAAGGTGTACATAATTATACGGAAACTTTTTATAAGTCGTCGTACAATATACACGATATAATTCATTTATAGGTTTACGAACCTTTTTTCATATTATGGGGATGATTTATACAGTCGGTTTTATTCCAGTGAGTGTTTCGGTGTAAAAGGCCAAAGGTAAAAGTGTCAGAGTTAAAAAATGTCAGAGATATTCTTCCCTCTTACATGTTTAACTATAACATTACTACTTCTGACATTTTTACCTCTGATATTTGTAAGGCACCTGACATTTCGACCTCTGATGTTTTTACCTGGCACAATTCAAATAGCCTGACGGCCTGCGAGATTAACAAAACAAAAAATATAAGAACATTTTCTCTTGAAGTTCTCTTGAGTTGTATCCTATACATATTCATAGAGTCAGTTTCAGTTTGATAAAGGTATAGTGTTCTGACACAAAACACACCACAGAGATATCTGTATAATTACAAATCACGTTTTATAATCTCTTACACACACATGTATTTTAATGGTACGTTTTTATCCTTTTTCATTAATTCGCCTAAGATTGTTGGGAACTTTTACGTGGCCGCTAGTGGGCTCCGCTACACCCCTACTAAAAACAGATCGATTGTATGGCCTGGTGAAGCTACGTCGCCACCATTGGACAGTCCTTTATGTGGATTCTTCAATGAAAATCCCGATTGTGACGAGAAAGGTATGCTGACAAAACAGTTAATGGTGCCATTTCATGATGATTAAAGTATCTCGTTGATATTACGTATATCATTGTTTTTTCCATCGTAGAATTAGAAAATTCTTATAGTACTTCATTGAATTAATTGATAAATGGCTGTATGCCCCAGTGACTATATCTTACATTAGTGTCTTGATATATGTAATAGTATGAGAAGATATACTCTAACTTCATTATATCTTATTCGTCTTACTAAGTATCTACGTATGATATCATGAGTTAATTTCAATGTTCTTCTTATTTATCCGTTTAAAGATATTTGGTAGCTCTTTAGAAATGTCTAAACATGTACAAATTTAGATTTCAGTCGTTGAGTGAAAAGTATGCCATATACGCCATTAATCGTTAATCGCATTAAACAAGGGAGAAAATATTTATTTCCTCATCGGTACTTACCATCAAGAGCCCATAACCAATTACGTTAAAGAAATTTGAGAAGAATTTTTTTTAATAACAGTGCTCTAGTCTTGGACTTTGTTAAAAGTGAGTTTCATCTCAAACTACATGCATGCGTTTTTCGTCATGATTAGTTTCTAAATGGTGTCATATTTCACATTGACATGTAACGTATAGGATCTACTTCTTCTTGTTGAAGATAATTATGTTCATCGTATTCATATAGCTTTTTCCCACTCCTTGGTATAACTGACCCTGTAGTACTCGTATAAGTTAGCCATTGTATGTCCATAACCAATTACGTGAAGAAAATTGAGCAAAATATAAAATAAAGTGTTTGGAAATAACCTTCCTTATCGACCTTTCTGAGACAAAGATCACAGTAGCGTTTTAGATATTGTGAATAGAGCAACTAATGCACTAGCTTCAACAATGCAATTCCTCGCTGTCTTCAAGGTTAAGTTAATATATAGTGCGTACTTTGCTACGCCTAATTCTTTAATTGAAAGAGCAGAAACCATTTCTTTAAAATATAAATTGAATCTGAGATGGAAAACTGAATCAATATACCCGTATAGGTCGTAGTGATATTTTATACGCAACCTTTTTTTTTCTTCAGACAAACGAAATCTTAATTTTCAGTCGTTTTCCAGAAAAGTTCGTCGTGACTGTTAACAATATCTAATTTTCTACTGTACAGGTGCAAATTGGTAATGGGCAACGAATGGACGACCTCTTTTTTCATTTTCCCCAATTAGATTTAGAGTTGCCTCATCGCTCCCACCCTTAAGCCCATTTTTTGAATGACCAGAATTCAAACCATTCAGTGTTTTTCAGTGTAACATGACTCGTTCAAATTTGCCCTGGATATGCTTTCAGGCTCAGAGGTTGGACATGTAGGCCTAAAGTTCAATATAACGCCTAAGGTGGGAATGGCCAGTCGGTGGGTATCAAGAATTAAATTTATGCGGTAATAATGTGTGATACGCAGAAATGTGATATGGGAGGCATGGGAGCATGTGCCCCCAATCGAATGGTGGGGGGAAAGGAGAAAGAATATCCCGTGCCCCCCTTCTCGCCTCCCCCCCCCCCCCCCGAAGACGTAGACTGTGATCTCGAGATACGTCACGGAAGCACAAAATTAACCCATTTCTCGCAATATCGGTGTAGTAGAATTAAGTGTCATCTGTAGTTCTGTTCCGCTACGTCCATCCACATGCAGAGCTCATAAAGACATCTTCATGACTTCTGTGCGTCTATCCTTCCAACTTCATTATTTCAACGTCTATACTAATCAAATTATACTCTGGTAATATAACTGTGGAGAATCTCTTCGCTTTCTCCTCGGTGACTCAATTATTCAAACAAATCTGTAGTATACTAAGGGTCATTTGTCCGGTAAAGTATGCTGTATTGTTGACGAGCCTTTTAGCCTATATCGTCCTTGACAATAACCATGAGTTTGTTGTTGAGGGATATTTTGATCGTTATAATAAAATCAAAATACATAAATAGTCTATGTTCGCATTGTCATTTTCTTCAACAAAATTAGGCGAACCTGCACTAATTTACTGACCTCGACATTAAGTTACTTTGATCAAGTTGATCAGGGTTGAAGTTCTATTCAGATATAAAGTTAACAGTATTGATTATACTATTCAAACTTTATTCTTTCACTACACGTTCCTATATTCGCTGCGTAGTAGTGCGTAGTAACCGTCATTTAGTAATTTAGTAACGTTACTAAATTACTAAATGACGGTTTCCCCACTTGATTCTTCAGATACAAATTATTCAACATCATGGTCGAGGCTATTATTGAATTACGAACAATATTGTCGTTACTTTAAGTATTAATTATTAACTTTATTGAACAAAATAATTTAACTATTTTATATGGCAAAGTGGTGATAACCTTGCATTGTTTTTTTAATTAATCAATTAATTTTTGTATTTATTCAATGTAAGTCAATTTAATCTAATTTTTTCGGTGATCGCATCTCGAGTAATTGTGGTCATTAAAAGCATTCACTATTGTTATTGCCTTTTTGAAACGTGCTTTGACGTGACTTTACTTGTTTTGGACCGGTTATAATGTTATAATAATAATAGATTTATATAGCGCAGCTTTTATACAAAATATATTCAGCTGCGCTGGTTAAGAGCTCCTTTTTACTAAATTCTACAAAATAAGATCACTCAGTTGAACAAATAAGTTTTTAAATTGGATTTAAAAAAATTGAGAGATGGAGTGCTTCTTATTTCTATTGGCAAGCTATTCCATAATTTGGGGGCGGCAATAGCAAAAGCACGGTCCCCAAGAGTTACTTTAGTTTTGCCATGGGGAATCTGAAGCAGTAATTTATCTGTGGAACTGCGCAGGCTACGACTGTGTGATTGGACTTTGAGTTGAAGTAATTCTTTGATGTAATTAGGGGCTTGACCGCTCAATGATTTATAGACGATTAACAATATTTTGAATGAGATTCTTTGACGGACTGGCAACCAGTGGAGTTCTCTCAGAAGAGGTGCGGTTGAAGTGAATTTCGACCGACGATAGACAAGTCTTGCACATGCATTTATCGAGATTCAACTATATTATTTCCTTACCCAAGCACATGACGTTGGCGAAATGATCTTCGATTGTGTTCAGTTTGCATTTACAATCAATTAGTCACGCACGTTTAATTTGTGCTCAATGTCAGGCCAGATAAGCAAACTTTCTAAAGAAAAATTGGTAAAAGAGGTAATTTCCCTTACCCCCAGTTTACTAACCTTGAACGTATATTATGGTCAACAAAAGCTTGAAAATTTGCTATGTGCAAGAAAATTACACTAAGTCTACTTTTGAAAATTAATTGCTCGTGCAGAACTACATGTACCTCAAATTCAATGCACTTGTTTCATATCAAGGAAAGATATCGAATTAAACACTACAATTAAATATTACACTTAATTACCAAATTACTGATCCAACGTTATGATTTTGCTATCAAGATCAATAATGTGGATATCGTCTGTTGAGTGTCATACAGCCTTTCCACACATTGGTAAAATTCATCGTATCTTAAGGACGTTAACACTATAGAAAATCTGAGTTTATGCTTTTTGGGCTCTCAACATACTCTCTCTCTCTCTTTTTCTCTCTCTCTCTCTCTCTCTCTCTCTCTCTCTCTCTCTCTCTCTCTTTCTCTCTTAATAATTTTTTTTGTTCATTATCCATTTCAACAGGTATCTCGTCATTAGTGATAGCTGGATTCACAGGCCTGTCTATTGTTCTGATCGGGACTCTTATAATCTTCCTCGTGTACAGGTGAATAGCAAGTAATTTTCGTATATGGTTTAGGCTGTCATGTTTGCACCAAATCTTGATGACGTTGTATTATTTTTTAATTAATATTAATTAATGTTTATAGGCGTACGGGTTCAATATATTTGTAAGGCTGCCGTCTCTTTCATGTTTCTAAATTTTGTGAGAAAGCAAATCATTACGAGCAATTTTGACAATTTTATTGCAATGGCAATATTATCCTTTCATCTTAATCATGATAAATAGTAAGATATCAAAAATACAAATAGACTGCCTCGCTGTCCGAATATATATATAAGTGGCAGCTGCTCGAATGTGAGAGTACTAATCATATTCGAGGAGATATGTATTATATAAATGCCTGGGAATTAAAAGAAAATTAAGAATGGGTGGGGTGAGCTGCAGCCTCCGCATCCTTGTACCCTTGTGCTTTTTATATCATTATCCATCATAAATATATCACGCAGAGTAAGCTTTCTTTCACATGTTGTATTCCTCTTGGAAATAAACCTCACGATGTGAAAATTTTCCACTCAATATTTTTCTGACCGAGCCTACTTATATTTTTGAATGTATTACAATTCGATGCATCATTTCATCAGTAATCGCTTATTCATTGAACCGTGCCTGTGTATCAAAATGAGAATCATGAATTTTTAATGCATTTGATCACTAATCACCATCAGCTGACTATTATGCTAATGACTAAAATGTTTGACCTAAATGTAGACTCCATGCATATATCTCTGTCACACACTGCCAATCACTTCCACCCAACAATCAAATCGACTTTAGATTTTTACTTTTGTGCTGCTTTACACACACAGTCATAATCCATATTTTAATTTATTTGGAAAAAAGGGGAACAAATTAATGAAAGCTGTAGAATCTCTCAATTATTCAGTGTCTGTCGCGATTTTTACGCGGCCTTCCTTTAAACCAGCCACTGACGTAAGCTCCCTGAATGAATATAATTGCCTGAATTGAATTGGATTCTTTATTTTCCCACTAGGTTTCTAGAATGAAAAATGATTGATGTGATAATGTGAACTGCAGTAATAATAATGATAATAATAATAGTTCAGTTCTTGTATAGAGATTAATACGTTATGAAATAACATCTCTATGCGCTTCCAAAGAGCTTTGGAAATTATTACCCTAGCTCCGGCAGCCTTAACTATCGGAATTATTTCCTATTTTCTTTTAACAGGAAGATCAAGAAGGACACTGAAATTCTTCGCATGTCGTGGAAGATCTCTTGGCTTGACCTAATCTTTCCAGAACAAACCAAGTCGGGAAATTCACGATTTTCAGGCTCATTTGTAAGAGTACTTTTCATTATCTTACCCTTTTTTTCTTCAACTGTTTACTCGTATTTTAATACACATCTATAAGCACGTGTATAAGGATCATAATTTTATAGGACGGTCGACTTAAAAAAGATTATGAATCACAAGGTACTGAGTTCGATTTTTTTTGCCACAGTCCTAACGTCCTTTGGCAAGACATTAATCTACATTTGCCACTCTCCACCCATGTGAAGTAAATGGGACTCACGCGTTAGCGCCTTTTCATGGCGGCATAGCTACAGGCGTCGTGATAACATTGCCTTGTATTAAGCGTCGTCGAGTATATTTATTTTGTGCCTGCGCTTCACTAAATGGCACCTATTGTTATTAATTTCATAAAAAAGGGGGTAATGCGTATCTAATATGCCACGTCAAGCGGACATATATATCCGTGAAATGGCCCTACGAGATGTGAATATTTATGTGGTCGCATCTGCTCTACAAAGGGAAGTACATACAATAGCATGAATAAATTAAATATCAGCGATGCCAAATTTCATCAAATCTCCATTCATTTACGAGCTCATGGCACTTTCATTAATTCGAACTAGAGTAAAGCTTTGTCGAATAGTCACACCAATTGACATATATTACATTTTAAATTCTGCATTTTCCCTAACTTGAGAGAAATGTAAAATGAAAATACAAGATAGGAGTTTGGTTGTTCATTTTATGCCCAATTTTAATGACCATGAATTTTCAAAATGAATGCTTTCACCCCTAAAGTTTATTGTCTCTCTTTATTATACATGTAGTAATGTAGTGCTATGGTGTTGGCAAAGGGTTTCTCTGACTTGTTAATGATATCGCAATGTAGCCATGCTTGATTCTTTCGAACTACTTGTTTAAAGCAGTAATCTTTCGGGAAACATTTCCCGTGTGTACCATTTAACAGGCATCATTATGCTTGGGTAAAACTCAGCAGTAATCAGCGTCAATTACGCCACCTTGCTTTAGCCGTCATTAGGAGAGTGCCCGTAAGCCCTGTATGTACTTGATTGATGCTGGCTCTTTCAAAGCATATTACTCAGAAGAGTTTCGATTGTTGCATTATGCGGCTCTTTAAATCGGAAACACGGCGCGGCGTCCACCGTCTCTCACCATCACTTAATACCAATGGCGGCACCAGAGTGTTTTATTACAAGGTGGGAGGGGTTGGGGAGGGGTGCTCAGTTCTCAAATTAAAATAAGGCGAAACGTTGGTCGATCTCGAATTTAGCGATAGCTAATATTATTTACAATATAAAGATCTTCAATGCTGCCTAACTAGGAAGAATGCAGGTTGATTGTGCAGACTGACATGACTGTTTGAGCGTATGACATGGGGCACCCCTACACACATGCACAAAATAATCTTTTTAATCCACTCTTATAAAATTATCAACGGTACAAAATAAGAGTTGCATACAATGTCAACGATAATATATATGTATATATATATATATATATATATATATATATATATATATATATATATATATATATATATATTATCGTTGGTATAATAATAATAATATAATGGTATTGGTTTAACTGTTTTTCATTCTTGATCTCTTTCATTTATACATCAACTTTAGATGCTAACCAATTTTATTATCACTAGTAATGCTTTTTTATTATCTTTTGTCGATGTTTAAGGTAAGCTGTCTTAGCGAGAGAGGTGGCGTTGTGAATAATCCCAAGTCTCAGGTCTTCGCTACCATTGCACATTACAAGGTAATTATGTATCACACTATCATTTCATTTTCATAATGATAATAATAATAAAAATTATGAAAAATGTATATAGCGCTTGTGACAAAAGTTTCAAAGCGCTGTACATGTACACCAATCAAAATTACTTCAAACAAAAATCAATATTACTAATGAAATAAACATTACTCAAATTACCAAGAAAACAAAATATTACTAACAAAACTTAACAAATTATCATTACTTAAATTAACAAGAAGAAAAAACACTCAATGTCCTCCATATTCTACCCGCTGTGCAAAAATATTATTTGAACTATTGCAAAAGGTTGGTCAAACCTGATAAAATGTATCAATAACATTTTACCTATTGAAAGACCTATGAACGTTCAATGAAAATTCTATTATATAAAGACTATAAACATACCATTTTTTTCAAATCATGGATCACATCATGAGCAAAAAGCTGCTTTGGAAAATGTAGCATGGTTTGGACTGTTAGAGTGTTATCATGTTATCCAGGATCTGCAACACAATAAAGTAATTTCACGAACGGATGCCTGCTATGGAGTGGAAAATAGTCTCCACGTATAACTTCAATATCTAATTTCAGCGCCTATACAATAATTGATACGATATTGTGATTTATTGTAAAGGATTAAAATGGGTCAATCTCAAAACGGTGCTTCTAAATATGGCGTCTTACCGGACTAACTAGAAGCCGTAATTGTAACGAAATTAAAATGGGTTAGTGTCATAGCGGGTTTCCACAGTATTTTAGATTCGATTCGATTGCCAATTACGAGTTGCTCTCGTTTTGCTAAGATGTATAAAGGAATACCTGGAATTAGGATGTGATCAAAACTTGTTCAAAAGTTTTTAATTGAAAGCTATGCACCATTTCTACCAAGCATGACAATTCAAAGAAATGATGTTATGAGGTCGAATCAGTCAAATGAATAAGTTGAACATAATTATATAACTTTCGTTCCATAACATTTAAGTACTGTGAAGAAATTACATAATAAGCTATTTTCAAAATGTGTTCAAATTTGTAGAAGTTTACCTATACCAAGGAGCTTTTATATTCACCTGTTATTGTTCACATGTTATTGTACTTCAATATATTCAGAATCCAAATTACATATTAATTGTCGCTAGGTACATGAGGTAGGACAAACATTATTATGGCTTTTAATGATTAAAATTCAATTATTCTTAACAGGTAAACGAAATAATACGTAGCTAGGCACGCACTTAACAAATACGCATGCAGTAAATTTGATTACATTACGAAAATGGCCTATTATGCACCACTTTTATCACTTCCTGACAACTAAAAGTCGGAAAATTGCTTAATGGTGTTCTGTTGTTATTTCCAGGGTCGATTGGTGATGGTTAAACGAATAGAGAAGACGAAGGTTGATCTAACCCGTGCAGAATTGAAGGACTTCAATAACGTGAGTTTGGAGAATACAGGCACGCGGGTTTTTTGTTTTAAAGCACCACTTAAAACATGCAACCATAATACCCCAGTCACACCGACACAAGACCGCCCACAGACAGAAAAAATTACAATTCATTCGATGGCTAAACATTGTGTCGGTTTGGAGTCGATTTGGTGTTGGTTTGTCGGTGTGACTGAGGTATACCGTATATATCACGGTTTAATACAGACGTTTCCTGCTCTCGCGCTGTTCATATCTCATTTACTTTCGCGTTGTATTTATTTTCACAGGCGTTGCCAAAGCTGTTGTATAAGTTATTTCCTTATACATGTATATAAATATATATGTATACAGTTAATAACTAAATTATTCATACCCTTACCTAGTTTTGTAATTTTTTGAAGTATGTGAAATAAACTGTTTGTCCCAATTCATGTGTCTCGAGAATGTGACATATTAAAGCTTACATTTAAATGCAGGAGCGTCACAACGTGACGGAAATGTGCGCTATATAAGAAGCCACCATTATTATTATTATTATTAACCAGTCCACCTTTTCATTCTTGAGTTCTGACAAACATAAAATACATAAAATTTACAAGGGTTTATGAATAATTTAGTTACTAACTGTGTATACAAACCTACATATAATATTCAGATGAGCTCAGGCGCGAATCCACGGGGGGGGGGGGGGGGGGATCCCCTTGCAAAAAAAAAATAGGTGTAAACAAAGATGGTAACGTTAATTTTACCTTTCTTGAACAAAAATGAAAATGACCCCCCATTTTTTTTTTGCTCAAGGGGGGTGGGTGGATGTTGAGGGGGGAAAAATTACTGCTTACCCCCCCCCCCCTCCCCCTGCTTATCGCCGCTACATATTTTCTCAAGATTTGCCCCCCCCCCCTCCCCTCCCCCTTTTGCCGCCGGCTGGATCCGCCCCTGAAATAGATCAAAGATAAGTCTTAGAATAACGTCGGAATCGAATGATGTTGTTTCTTTCCCATTCTTGGTGTTATCTCAACACTTATTTTGACGTAGTACTGTATAAATATGGAATTTTCACCATCTTCGTTCGATATTAAATAGGGGTTCTTTCAACCTGACACGAACGCAAAGACCTTCATGAAATCGACCAAAGGAAATTCCCTTGTCCCAGTTCCGCTAATGAAATTGTGGAACATTATGAAGACATAATATCACGAACACGATAGGAACACTTTCGAACAAAACACAACCTAAGGCAATTTTAGCAGCTTTGTACGTCACATATTGAAGTGTGCGAACATTATAGAAGGACTGAATATTATTATTATTATTTTATTTTTTACAAAGACGTATTACGTAATACGAAAATGATTTCTATAGGGCATGTCATAGGGTATTAATGGAATTGCCCTTGAGTTGATATTTAAACAATTTATTGTTGCGTTCGTGTTCTGAAGTAATCCGGACATAAAATCTGAGTTGTATACAGTAGGGTATTGAAATTACACTTAAGTTGATTTTTCTCGAAAGTCTTTGCGAGCATGTTACACTTACCTGACGTCATAGAGATATGAAGATGGCGTTGGATCGACGGTTTTGTTTTGCAGTGTTTGCCGTTGTTTATTCAGATAATACTGTTTATTGTGTTATTAGTTGGTCTCTGACAAACAACTAAACTAAGATTGATATAATATATTTCTTTTTAATCATTTGTTTTCCTTTAGAAATAACAGGTGTTTATTTTTTCATTACAAACAAAACAGCTGCCTATTCACTCTGGTCATCACTAACAGATCAACTTAGCAAGTATTTTATATATAGTATGAGAACAGAGAAGAAGGATTGCACATTACTTTAACATTCATTAATGACATGTCTGATGTTTATCTCCCGACGTTTCAATCGAACTCAATTTTTCATCAGCTTATGTGAAGTCTATTTTTGCCAGAAATAGCTGTATATCTCACTTTGTATGGAAACTCTTTAATAATTCAAAATCTGCAGATGCGGCAGGTCGAACACAACAATCTAGCCCGATTTGTGGGAGCCTGCCTGGATATCCCCAACGTTTGTGTCGTCATAGAGTACTGTCCTAAGGGGAGCTTGCAGGTAATCTATAAACAATGACGTAGCTACAGTGGAGGGCATGGGAGGGATATGTGCCCCCCCCCCTTTATCGAGTGGCTGAGAGTAGAAAGAAAGAAAAAGCGAGAAAGGAGAAAAAAAGGGGGGGGGAGATTCCGAAGAAGACGTAGTGACCACCTTCAACACCTCCTAATCAGTAGCCCTATAAATCCTTTTTTTAATAATTAATAAGACCGATGCCCCCCTCTCCCCATCGTTCCGTTGCCCCCTTAATGGTTGGTATAACGCTATGCCACTGTAAATAAAGATTATTATCAAAAGAACGGCGCGGATTTTGACCAAGCCAACAGGAATAATTTTCGAATTAAAATTCAAATGAAATCTCCCAAGGTGGGAAAACGAAACGCCGCAATGTTACTGACTTTTCAGTTTGGCTATTTTTAGTTTCGTATAATCATTTTTCTTTGCAACGTTGTATATCATCAGCAGTACCAATCTTTAAATAATTGTCAGAATGAGACAAGGCCTACTTTATGTCTTTTTTTTAGCATACGAGAAGTTATTCACTCTCTTTCTCTAATTTTTATTTCAGTTTTTTCATCATTATAAGCTAAATAGTGAAAGTAAAAGTAATGTTTATGATCATATACAAATAATATTCAGCAGGTTCTTTTCACCATCTTTCTTAATTCAGGCGACATGGTAATTCAACATATTTTAATTGTGAACATAATAAAGCAAATACTACAACAGCGGTTTTGTTTTAATACTCTCAATAATGTCAAGACTATTTTCTTTACTTTCAAACTGCGGTTCTAAAGGACATTTTGGGAAACGATAGTTTGAAGTTGGATGCCATGTTCAAGGACTCACTCATCATAGACATCATTCGGGTAAGTGAATATAAAATGTTGCGATAAACAAACCAACACGTCAGTCATGCTGTATTTAAAGGCACATTGTCCTACTTGTAGCTACTTGCTCCCTCTATACAGAAAAATTCCCCAATCGGTGCCTGTTGGTCCCCCATGATCCTCTTTTTCTTATGTTAAATGAGCCGAGCTGAGTTAATGAGATAGCCACCTGTCACAGTGACCTCGCTGGCTCGCTGGGTAGTCTAATCCCTTCTAGCTGAAGTAGTAAAGCCTGCCTTTAAAGTAGCAGTTGCTACAATTATTGTTTGTATAGAAAGATTATTTTGAATGTGTTTAAACATGCACATATATTTGATTTGTTTATTTCTGTGAAGATTATTAATAAATAGCCTGTGGAAGGCTCAAAAATTGAAGAAAAGAAAATGCTGCATGTTTAATCCGAGGTTTTTTTAATCACATTTCATATCATGTTTTAACTGTACTGCTAAATCTACCAACTTTGCATAGTCAGTTAAAGAATTGGGAATGCATTAACATCTTCAAATCAAATCGGATTAACAGAACCTAAATGAGTGTCAAAGTTGTCCGTGTGGATGTATCGTGGTAGAGTGGTTCATTCACTTGGCTCTCAATGTAAAGGTTGAGGGTTTGAACCCTAGCGCTGCAATAATGTCCTTTGGCGAAACACGAAATTTACCCCCTCCAACCAGGTGTAAATGATACCTTTTCCGCAGGGAAAGTAGTATTTATACCGATGTGGTTTCCATTGATAAATAGGACCTAGGCCTAATTATTATTAATATTATTATTGTTATTATTATTATTATTACTATTATTACCATTATTATTATTTTCATTATTATCATTATTATCATTTTTATCATTATTATCATTATTATTATCAATAACTACATTGATAATAATAATGATAATAATGATATAATTATCATTATTATTATTATTATTATTATTATCATTTTTATTATTATTAGTGAAAGCTAAGAAATGAATTTCTTCATCGACCAACATGTTTCCACAGGGTCTTCATTACCTACACAACAGTGTGATAGGAGTCCACGGACGGCTTACATCATCCAACTGCGTGGTGGACAGTCGTTTTGTTCTCAAGCTTACAGACTTTGGGCTTCGAAGGTTTCAAAAATCGGATTGCATTACGCATGATGATGATGCTATGATAGAGAGACAAAGTGAGTAAATATCCCGTTCTTCCATTTTCTGGGTTCTCTGGGTACTCATCATATTCCCTAGTCACATCCAGAGGCAGTGCTACAGGGAGGCATAGTGCCTCTACTTTATCAGGTACCTGAAAACTTCCCCTTTTTCTTTTAAGAAGTTCCCCTTTTCATATCTGATTAGTGCCCCATTGTACTTCTAATGTGCCCCTTTTTACTTTTGTAAGAGGCGCTCTTCCCCTTCTAATAAGTGCATGCCTCATTGCTTCGCTCGATCCAAAACGAATCATCTACACGTAACTGGAAATTATGATGTGGGTACAGCATCTACAACGATGCAATGATAGGGTTCATAAATTTTCGACATCTTTTGGTAGCTAAGGACATGAATAAGAACGAAGGGCATTTCAGTGTCTCAATTAGTATTATTCACCTTCTGTTAATTCTTTTAAGGTTTCCCTGTTCTTCCTATGTGATATTTTTTGTTGTTGCCTCTTTCCCTTTCTCGTGAAAGACACTTCACCGCCCCTGGTCACACCAGCGAGATCGATTGACTGAATAGCCAATATTTTAACGATTACCGGTTAGTTCAGCGGTGTGACTATATAAAGTAATTCATGAGAATATTGACATCCCTGCCTAATGGCTCAGTAGGTCTTTACTAAATTGGCAGTTCTTGTTGTCTCTAACAGAACTGTTATGGAAGGCACCTGAGGGGGTAAATGATCCTGCTGCTGAACCAACACAAGAGGGCGATATTTACAGCGTTGGCATCATTTTGCAGGAGATAGTGACACGGAACCCGCCGTACGAAGAAGTTCGGCAGATTATGGACATCGAAGGTAAGTGCCTTGCTTGCGATGCGAACCAAACGGTAGGGCAGTGTAAAAACACGTTAATTTTACTAACCCCTTGGACAATTAACCATCTCCCCGGGAAATAACTCCTTGAAAAACTACCCCCGAGGAAAGAACATCCCGGGAATTACCCATTGGACATTTGCCCCTGTGGAAATTTACCCCCCAGTGCACCCCTAAAAGTTAACCGCTAAAACAATAACCCCCCTTTCATGAAGGGGAAGTCTGACCTGATTTTGATAAAAGCAGCATTTTTTTCGGGGGGAGGGGGATGATTGTCCAAGGAGTAGTTTTCAGGGAGGCTAATTGTCCTCGGGGGGGGGGGGGGGGGGGGGGGGGGGGGGGGGGGGTTGTTGTTGACCTTGGGCGTAATTTTCCGGGGGGTAATTTTCCGAGGGTTAATTGTCCTAGGGGATTGTCCCGCTGGTGATTTTGAAGAAAGAAAGAAAAAATCCTATCAATGGTTTATGTCATATAATACAGCGAGGTAGTCTTTTTTTAGTTTATAATTAGTAAAAAGTAACTTTGTCACCAAAATACAATTTCATATATTTTTCTCACTCGCAACATAGGTCTTAGGGAAAAGATTAGCCATCTACTAGATATTGTATGTCGAATTGAAATGCAAATCAAATGATTCTGGACAGGCAAGACAGACGTCCATCACTTATTCACAATTGGTCTCGATATATTTCCTTAAAAAAATTCATTGGCAGACATCCTGATGAAGATCAAGGAGAAAAGAGATCCTCCTTTCAGACCAAAGGTGGCGCCAAACTCATGCCGTCCAGAGATCCATGCCGTGATGACGTCATGCTGGGAGCAGCAACCAGAGCTGAGGCCATCCACCGCTTCGCTTCTACATAGCATGAAGAAACTCAACAAGTAAATGATTCAATAAGAGGGCGAATCCGAGCTAGTTTGTTTCATATATATGAGCAGGGGCGTATACAGGATTTTATAAAAGAAGGGGCGCAATTAAATTTCTGACATTTCTGACAAGAAAGAAAAAGGTCATCACCTAAAAATTGTGTGTGAGGGGGGGGGGGCACAATATTTTTAGTTGTGTACTTAAGGTATGTCACTTGGATTTTAAAAGGGGACGGTGCACATGCCGAATCCCCACCCCCCCCCCCCCAAATCCGCCTATGAATAATCGCTTTAAGTTAATTGATTTATTTGATTGATTTATTTCTTCATGTTGTTTTTCTCCAAAATTACAAAACTCATCACAACATAAATCATGTGACAGCAGTAAATAGAATGATTATAAATAGGTTGTACGACACATTATCCGGCTACAATAAATCTACGCGTCAGTTTGACTAACCGAATTCTTAACTTCAATGCTTGAACCTACCCTAAACATAACCCTAACCATAACCCTAAGCCTAACCTAAAACCCCGTTACAACCCTAACACCAACCCTATACCTTCAACGAAATAAACCCCAGACCAAAAGTCGTCGAAAATCATGTCGGAGTACTCATCAGACTACCGTTCTTTCTGCTCAGGAACGTTTCTGGAGGCAGCATCTTGGACAATCTCTTGAGTCGGATGGAACAGTATGCAACGAACCTTGAGGCTTTGGTGGAGGAAAGGACAGCGGCGTTCCTGGAGGAAAAGAAGAGATCTGAAACTCTGCTCTATGAGGTTCTTCCTAGGTAAATTTCTTGGGATTCTTGTCGTAAAGCCTCGTTGAGATTTGACGCGGCAAACCGAGACGATCTTATGACTAAAGTCTTATATTCTTTACTTTTTCTGTATGCATCTTATAACACAGTGATAAGTGAATACACGTATAGGACTTAATTGTTTCGCGCAATTGCCATTCATTAACGATATAAAATTAAAAAAACACCGCGGCGGGTTTTCAATTATATTGTTATCGAAGATAAATTATCTTGGGCATCGAGACATTTATACATGTATTCTTAATGGCGATGTACGCATTGCTAGTATATCTAGAAAAAGGTATTCCCAAAACGTTTATTTTTCTGATTATAATCAAAACAATGGCGTAGTTAATACATGGACATGCCCATCAAATGGCAAAAAAAAAAAAGACAGAGAGAAAGAAAGGGAAAGGGATACATGAAACGAAGATGTTAGTACATGTTCGCTCAGCCTACCACTATTGCATTGTTGATTCTCATTTCATCAATTCATCCATTAAAGATGCTGAGATACAACTAGTTAAATTAATGCCCCCTCCCCCCGCCCGAGGCTTTACCGGCGCACTTTGTCCTTTTATAAAAAATCGTTAATGAAGAATGAAAAAAAAAGCATATTACTGATCTTTTAATTATTTTGGCCTGTTTTTGTCTATTTCAATAATGACCGATGAGGACTATCATTCACAGACAATAATATTGATACCCGAATACAACTGAATCATATACATAATGAATTAACTAACGTTATCGGATTAACGTAAGATATTTTGTGAAGGTTAAAGGAAGTGTTCCTAAGTATGTTTCACAATAATGTACATAGGCGCCGGAAGTGGGGGGGGGGGGCAGGGGGGCAGTTGCCCCCCAAAACAAAAAAGTGGGGGGCAAAACGCATTTTTGCCCCCCAAATAGGCCCCCCACCCCTCCACAAAAACAAAAAAAGCAGTAAAGGAGTAAACATAATAATAAAAACCTGAATTAAATCACATATACAATTCCATTCAAAGAAAAGGAAAGTTCACAGGAATTAAATTTCATAAACATTGCGCATGCCACCTATACGGTATCAATGGAGGTCTTTATAATAGCGATACGCGCATATCGTGGACATATTCTGCGAGAATGGATAAGCGTGTCTGTTTTTTTTTTTTATAGGGGTGAGAAGACATGAGCCCCTGAACGCTGGCGTACTGATGGGGGGGGGGTGTATTTCTTATTCGATACCAGTGATTTACAAATGTTGCTGTTATGACATGATTTTCCGGTATTTTTTCTCCATTTTTGTGTAAGTCATACCTTTTCATGCGTTTGTTGGAAAATAAGAAATCTCCAAATTTCAGTCGGGCGAAAAATACGCTTATTTAGAAGCCTTTATGTCATGGTCTGCAAAGTGGATGGGCTCGAGCCCTCCCCCCTTACTTTTTGAAAAAGTATGTTAAAGATAAAAAGAAAGAAAGACGGAGAGAAAAAATAAGTGACCTGCCAATGTCACAAATAAGGTATAAAAAATGCTCATCTGACCGTAATTAAATGCCTAAAACCACAGAGCTTACGGGGGCTCCGCCCCCGAGCCCAACCAAGGGCCCTAAGGCGGTCCCCTGGATGCTCATCTGACCGTAATTAAATACCTAAAACCCCTGAGTTTCCGGGGGCTCTGCCCCCTGGATGCTCATCTGACCGTAATTAAATACCTAAAAAACCCGAGCTTCAGGGGGTTATGCCCCCTGGAACCCCACCAAGGGCCCTAAGGCGGCCCCTGGATGCTCATCTGACCGTAATTAAATACCCAAAACCCCTGAGCTTCCGGGGGCTCTGCCCCCTGGACCCCACCAAGTGCCCCAAGGTGGGCCCCTGGATGCTCATCTGACCGTAATTAAATAACCAAAACCCCTGAGCTTCCGGGGGCTCTGCCCCCTGGACCCCACCAGGGGCCCTAAGGCGGCCCCTGGATTCTCATCTGACCGCAGTTAGATATTAAAACCTCTGAGCTTCTGGGGGCTCCCCCCCCCCCGGAACACGTCAATGGCCTTAAAGAGGGCCCCTGGATGCTCATCTAACCGTTAATAAATACTTAAACCCCAGAGCTTCCGGGGCTTATGCCCTGGACCCCACGCCAATTTACGTTCTACCTGATTGTTAATACGTTCCTCGGGACCTGCATGTAATGTGTAAGACTGGTGGTGATGCAGATTTTTCGTCTGCTGCCCCCCCCCCCCTTTCTGAACGTTTTTTCTCATTGCGTCACTGCCCCTGGAAGGTGAGCCTCCTGGAATGTTTGCCCCCCCCCCCATCCTAAACTGCTTCCGGCGCGCCTGATAATGTACCTTTGATTTACTGACAAGAACAAAAACAAAATATAGTAGCAAGCGTGTAGCTAGAATTTTATTTTAGGGAGAGGTAGTGAGCACGTGAAGCGTGTGAAGCGCACTCCCTAAGGGTTGGGTGCAGGAAGGGGGACAATTCTAGCCAGGGGGGCGACTGCCCCCACCCCCAACCTCCCCCCTCCCCCTCCCCCGTGGCTACGCGCCTGTATAGTAGTAGCTTAAAGGTTTGTTATTGAATAGTAGTAATGGAGGATAGAATAGAAATTGTTGATAATCAATCATCAGTATCTATTAACTATTATCTGCGAAATAGATCTGTAGCAGAACAGCTGAAACGAGGAGAAGCAGTCAACCCCACATCTTATGACAGTACGACTATCTACTTCAGTGATATAGTAGGATTTACTACACTCTCAGCAGATAGCACGCCCATGCAGGTATGTTCATCGAAATCTATTTTTTCCGGCACGAATCACAGAAGGAGAAAAACTGGCGAGAGAGAGAGGGAGAGAAAGAGAGAGATAGAGAATGGGGGGAGAGAGAGAGAGAGAAAACACATGGAAAAGAGAGAATGTTAGCCCTTCATGTAGATTAAATTTTTTTTTTTTTTAAATTGCTCGAGACAACTTCAAATCTTTCAGAAATTAGCAAGTGGCGTATCCACGACTGGGACGTGATCACTCTCTAGACGAGTGTGAGGGCGTCATGTTTTGGGCAGTTGTCTTGTCTGCGATAGACGCTGCAGTATGTATTGTTTAGTACTTCCATTTGACCAGTACGGTTCTTGACCCTCCTCTAAAATTCTCTTCTTTATTGTTTCTTTATTCACAGGTGGTAACCCTTCTCAACGATTTGTATACATGCTTTGATGAGATCATTGGCAATTATGATGTTTATAAGGTAAGACAATCCAAAGAATAAAATACATTATCAAAGAGAGCCCCATAATTAAGTTGTTTTATCTTCTTGTTATAATTATTATGATTATCATCATTAGTGGTAATATTGTTATTATCATCATCATCATCGTCGACTGCATCATCATTAATATCATTAAAATCATTCAAATCGTTAATGGTAGCAGTAACATAGGAGTGTCAGTATAAAAAGTAGTAATTGTGGTAGTAGTAGTAGTAGTAGTAGTAGTAGTAGTAGTAGTAGTAGTAGTAGTAGTAGTAGTCGTAGTAGTAGTAGTAGTAGTAGTAGTAGTAGTAGTAGTAGTAGTAGTAGTAGTAGTTATTGTTAACTTGACGCGTACATGTAAACAGTCAAATAGGCCTATATCAGATATTAAGAACATTGGAAAGGATAGATAAAATGACTGCGACCTACAGCCTCCTGTCTAAGCTCGAATAGCAATAAATGTAAATAGTAGTTAAAGGAACACCTTTAATAACGGCAAGGCATTAGCTAGGGGCCAAAGGGGCATTTTGTAGCACCAAAGAGGCATTTTGAGTGATGAATAGGTGCAGGGCACGATGCCCCTCCCCACGAAACGAACTGTCAACGGTAGTGAACACGAGCTTTTTCAATTCTAACACTAACAGACCGTTGACCAAAACATGAATAATAACAATTGTTAACAATTGTTGATAGATTAGTAATTTTTAGTCAGGGAACGGGAAAGAGCCTCCTGTACAATGACGACTTCAAAATTAAAGGTGTAGACTAATGTCGGATCCTATCGATGGAGATACTAACACGCACGACCTTAACACACACCTCACAAAAAATAGTAGAATATATACCTTTAATAATTGAAACTCTCGCTATCGCTGTCATTATTATTCACGTATTATCAACTCTTAAGTGGATCTTTCAAAAACTTAATACAATGTTTCTGCTTTTAATTATAGGTGGAGACTATAGGTGATGCATACATGGTGGTCTCGGGTCTACCTATTGGTAACGGTAATCTACATGCCAGAGAGATTTCTGCCATGTCCTTAGCTCTCATAAAAGAGGTTTCCACCTTCAGGATCAGTCATAGACCAGAAGAAAAACTCAAGCTTAGAGTAGGCATTCACTCAGGTAGGCATATATATTTGTTAGCCAATTTAGTTTTTGTTCTACCCACAGGGATGGCCCCATGGTTTTGTAAAAAGGGGGTTCCATCCGCACCCCCTTCCCCCGACCCCCCCCCCCCCCGAATATCAGCCTAAATAGGAGAGCCCCAACAAAACTAAATCAGGCTTACGGTTTCTAATATTGCAGATCATAGTTTGTACTGTTTTGGGTCAGGTTTGCGCATAAATAGATCATACGAAAAATGTATGACATAGCTATAAGACTTGATGTGTTCTTATAGATTTTAGTATTTGAATTAACGACCTATTGATTATCAATTATTAGTTATATAGTCTTTTGTTAAAATTATAAAATTCTTATTTTTTTCCCAAAAATTTGCAGGGCCTTGCGTTGCTGGTGTTGTTGGATTGAAGATGCCTCGCTATTGTCTGTTTGGAGACACCGTCAACACCGCCTCGAGAATGGAATCTACCGGTGAAGGTAAGTGAGACAATAAAACAACTGGTAACTAATAATCTATACTAACGATATACTTATGAAAAGGACACTGCTTTGTTAGTTTGGAGTGTGAAAAGACAGATTTGCTCTTTTAATTCCTACTCTATATAGATACAATTAATTTGAAATGGATGTACTTTCTTATAGGTGCCGTGGTATAGTGGTTTATTCGCTTCACTCATAATCTAAGGGTTGAGGGTTCGAACCCCAGCCCGGCACTCGCGTTCTTTGGCAAGACATTAATTGATATATGCCACTCTCCACCCAGGTGTAAATGGGTATTTGGCAATGCAGGGCCCACAGGAAGTGAATATATTACTAATGTGGCTACCCTGGGTAACTAAGACCCAATTTCACCTTCACAAAATGTTGATTCATTTTCGCTACTGTTTTGTTTTGGGAGGAGGGGGTGCACATTTTGCTCCTTCCTCGTCAAATCATACATTCTTACGCCAATTAATTTTACCAGACATGATGTTTCAAATTATACATTTTGTCCATGTGTTTCGAGAAAAAAAACCTGATCAGCCAATGTAGATTTCTCGAAAGTATTAACGATCGGTTTTGCACGGAAAAAATGACAAAGTTACAACAAAACGACATTGCAACTTGACACAATTGCGTTTTTATTTAACAGCTGTGTTTCTTTTCCTCTCTTCTTCGTTTCTTTTCTTAAGTTTTATGTATGGATAGTGCAAAAAGATTGGTTGAACAGTACACGATATAATTAACATTTTTGAAGAAACTTTCTGCGTTCAAATTCAGATACTTCAAGTGCACATACTGATATTGGGCAAGTGAGACCATTACATTCATTAATCTCTTTATCCCAATATATTCCGATTTTTAATACCGTCAAAATTTCCCTCCCATTCTACTAAAATTGCAGTTATTGTTCTCCAAATAGGATGTCCAATGGGTTGTAGCAGTCATGTAGACATTTTGCTTTGTTTGTTTGTCTTCATTTGTTTGTCTTCATTTGTTTATTCATTTGTTTATTCATTTGTTTGTTTGTTTATCTTTATTGGTACAGCAATGAAGATTCACCTAAGCGAAAAAACCAAACTTATCCTCGAAGAGTTCCAGTGTTTTCAGACTATACTCAGGGGCAGAGTCGAGCTCAAGGTAAATCTCATCTATTTACTACGTTTCATTTTCTATATCGCGCATGATACCCCGATATACCGACGAGACCGACATAAGACTGACAACAGAATTATCAAACAATTACCCCTAATGATCAAGTTATTCCTTACTTTTGTTACTCTTGCAATGTTATTATTTGTATATGTGACAAAGGAACCGCGAGATAAAATATTAACATAAACCTAGATATTATTTTAGGTAGCTATGGTAAAATTATGAATGGAACAAATAAGTAAACAAGCAATGAAATAAATCAAATAAATTACGTACTTAGTACAACATCTGTCTAAAAAATATATATTTGTAAGACATTATATGCTTTCATTTTTTTGTTTAGGGTAAAGGATCTTATCTCACCTACTGGCTTCTCTCTATGGATGTATAACATTGACTACTCACATAGCCTACGACCACATGGCCTTTCATAAACTTATTGGAGCACGTTTAATTTTTTTCACAAATGGCGTTCCCACCGCCATACGGACAACGCATTGGAGGATATTTTGCTGTCCATACTGTATCAGTGCTCATGCAGTGTTCACACCGCCGCGCCCAAGCAGCATTCACACCGCCGCGCCGGACAGATAGCGAGTTTGGAAGATATACTGCAGTCCATGTCATGTCTAACTTTAGACATACGAACTGTGCACTTAAGATGTTGTTGCTGTCCATACGATATGAGAGCACACACAGCGTTCACATCGCCGTATGAACATCGCATTGAGAGGATATTTCGATGTTTGTACGATGTTAACCTAGTAACGCCTTATTGCTACCCATTCAATACCAACGTTTACATCGTACAGACTTCTAAACGCTATCAATGAAGCCTATTTTGAAAACACGACACAGCCTTAAATTCGCAAAATTATTGTTTGTTTATAAGGAAAGTGTGAATATTCCTATTACATTTTCTATCAGAGCAACGCGTCTCTAATATTTTCAAACTTTTCAGGTTAGTCTCTATTTAAAATTGTTGCAAAAAATAAGTACGAATGGTGTGTACAGGGAAATGGAAATAATGTGCAAAATTTCGCTAACATTCATTGAGTATTCAGGCAACGAAGTTCGAGGCAGTATTCATGTACATTTACGTGCCATCACAATAAAAGTATAATAGTGGTCAAGTCACAGGCTTCTGTTTAACTCTTTGTCCAATACGTTACCACATTATGATGGATGGTGAACGGAAAGCCTAATGTCGAAATTATTACTTTGTTTCGTCTTATCCAAGCTCTAACAAGGCTGTCAACTTCAAATTATCGTCAGATGTACTCAAATATTTCAAATGATCGGTGATGAATAAGACCCCCCCCCCCCCCAAAAAAAAAAAAAAAAAAAAAAATCCCATTTAAAAGACATCAATAGCTTTCTTGACTGCCTCAGTAAAAATCACGTTCATTATTTAACATTACATGTAGATTGTAATGTTTACATAATTATTTCACAAGGCTACTGAAATTTCTACAGGTTTCGTTCTTATTTTTGTATTCATCCGATGATATACGAGGGTAAACATGTTTATTTCGACTGGGTGAATATTAGTTGGATTGGAAAACAAAAATAAATGAAAAATGAATTTATTTCACCACGTTAATTAAAACACACATACTTAAAGTGCGAAGATTATCAAATCAATAATTGATTGTCTTGGAAAGGGAAGTCTAGACATAAGAGTCCAAGCACTGAAATTATAGCACTGCCGCAAAATCTCTTTGGGATGCCTGGTGACCCCCAACTTTTTTTTAATATCTCGTGTCAGCTGTAGCAATATGGTCCCGTATCTCACTGCGTTGTTGGTAGCTGTTGGTTATCGCATCGAGTCCTCTAGTCCTCTGTTTGCGAAGCGGAGTTTAGGTATTGGGTGATGTACCGTTAGCAAGTTGACCATGAGATGGAGCTTTTCAAACAGTTTTTTAAACATTACGTTAGGGCAGAAAGTTTTTCTGTTCAGTATCGCTTTAAATATTGGCTACAACTTTAAGAATATTAAACATTACAATTTGAGATTTGTTAATGATGTCGTTACAATAAAAAATGATAGACGTATAGATCATCAAACAATTAATTTTTTTCCTAAGACAATCCTTACAATAATGGTAAGAATCATTTAAGAATTCTTCACTTTATTTAAACGACTTTGATAAAGTTAAACGGTTTCTTCGAATCTTTTTTGTTCATAGTGCGATCATAATAAAATTATATCAACATTACTGTTCAATGAATGTGAGTTTTTTAAGAGGCCTATCCGATATTTTTATTTTCAAGTGAAAACAAATACTTAATTATTCTTATTAGCAGTACTGTCAACAGTTTGTATGGCTGTATGATGTCAACTGGAAGCCCATTATCATAAGGTTTAGAAGGGGAAAATGTCTTCTCCTTTCTAAGGGCCCGTTACTCATACCACGGCAATTATTCTTTTCTTTCTCTGCCCACGACACTGTAAAGCAGCCCGCGGAAGGAAGACCGGTATTTAAAATAATTAAGAGACGTAGTTTAAACTTTTAAATTAAATGGCAAGCTATTAATTGTTCGATTCTATTTTTTGTATTGCTTTAAAGTGTCTCTATCTCCGTACCCCCCTCTCTCTCTCTCTCTCTCTCTCTCTGTGTCTCTTGCATCACTTTTTAATAGTGTTTTTCTCTCTTATTCCATTCTATTCAAATGTTCATATCTATATAAATTATCATCATTTCGGGCGATCTCACTACTATTTCCCACGTGTCTAGCAAATGTACATTATATTTGACACCATAAATTACTGATGTTTTAATGGACTATACACGTAGACTAAATCGTGTTGCAAGAATTAACTTTGCAATATAAGTGTCGTATCCGTGCAATACTATTCTATAACTGCCAACATAATACTGTGCAGGGGTTATTTTTAATTTGATTGAATATATCTATATACTGTTATATAATAGCTTAAATTTTTATGAGGTATACCTGGTTGTCTATTATTTTATATTTGTGTAATATTTTTAAACTTTCTAGATTGTTGCCTTGATGGAAACAAATGGTGCCATGCCCTAGTTGTAAACTTTTTTATACAAAATTGATATGGAATATTTAAACATGTTTTATAAATTCATGACTAGAAATCTTGGATGTGAAACTTTTTTACATTGTGGAACCTTGTCGATTTCAGTTCTTCATTTTAGAAAGCAAATTCTGTTTAATTTGTTAACAACTTTACACACATATTTTTTTTCTTTTTCAGAATGACTGTCCCACCCTGTGTTTGTATAAAGCAGTGTGAGGTTATTTGTGAAGTATTTCAAACTTTTATTTGAACAAATTAGCACCCGCCTCAGTGCTGTCTCGCAGCTAACATTGCACTGTGTTGTCATCCATAGCAATTTTTGTGTAGTTATATGTGCAATGTATACCAATAGTAACTATATAAGCATTTTAAATATAAACTGTGAATCAACAAACAGAATCGAGCAAAAGCAGTACAACTTCATGAAAGTATATAATGTTAGTCCCTTAACTTGATAAAACAATTGTTTATTTTGTATCTTTTACATTTGTGTTCAATTGACTGTCTTATATTGTTACCTGCCTTTGAATGTAATAAATCAGACGTGAAAAAGGGTGCACCAAATCAAATATGTCTTTAACGTGTTTTATCATTTTATCAACGTTGTACAATCCATTGATGAATGCATTGACAAATCGAAGATAATTCATGGACGTGAACATTTGAATAGTCAAAGATAGTTTCAGTTAAATAATAAAATGAAGTGAAACTAAATTGAGAGAGAGTGAGAGGGGGAGGGGTACGGTAGAGAAATTTGTTTAAGGAGAAGAAGAGAAATGCATTATTCTTTTAAAAAAACCAGGATGAACATAGGACTAAACGAAACATTTTTCGGATATAAATAGAAAATATAGTATTTTAAGGGGAAAAGAAATTAAAGAGATAGGAAATATATCAGGGTACGATTGTTCATAATATATAGTTTCCTTTTTGTAAAATTCGATTGATGAATTACCGTAACAAATTAAAAAACACCTGAATGATTTATTAATTTTTTATTTATTGTATTGTATTGTATTGTATTTATTCAGACAAGCATGTCTAGGGATGCAGAAAAGGGTTTGAAAAACCCGTACAAGTCTGCATCCCTGATAAAAAGCAAAGTTCACAAATATTATTATTGCATAACATAGTTACAACAAAAAAATGATATCAAACACGATAATACATCAAATAATTATATACACAATGTAGTTTAGAGCGAAAATAAATACATAAAATATTATTGATTGCAAAACAGCATTATTGAATATACAAATGATTGGGTATTTCAGGGATCAAAATGCTATATAAAAAAAATTTGCAGCATGATCTAAGGTAAAAATTAAAATATAGTTGATATTGCGCGAATTTGGATGTAATTGTATAAAAATGTAAAAACAAATTGTTATTGCGGAGTTTAAAAAGTTAAATATGTAAGCAACTTTTTAATGATATTTTGAAAGTTGAAAGAGATGGACTATTAATAACATTACTTGGGAGCATGTTCCACTCATTGGCAGTTCTTATATAAAAAGAGTTTTTGAAATAATCTGTTTTTGCAAATGGTACGTACATTTTCATATTATGATCATTACGCCCAATTCTGTGAGCACGTATAATTTTTTCAATCGGACCAACATTTACCATATTATTTATTATTTTATAAAACATGACTAATCTGTGGTACTTGCGTCTTTCTTCTAATTTTGCAAAACTTGATTTTTCTAATAGTTCATGGTAACTTGTTTCCCAGTCTCTAAACATCATTCTTAAATATCGTTTTTGGACACGTTCAATAATATTTATATGTGAAACTCTATAGGGGTCCCATGCAATACAACAATATTCTAGACATGGACGTATAAGAGAGTCATATAAGGTTTTAAACACAGAACGTGGGCAATTAAGAAAATTTCTTTTGATTATAGCTACAATCTTACTACACTTTGCGTATGTTTCGTTACAATGAGAATTAAAATTAAGGGTATCATTTATAGTAATGCCCAAATACTTTTCTGACTTAGTGTTAATTAATTTATGTCCACCCAATTTATATTCATACTGTGGTTTAGAGGACTTTCTTGACATTTGCATTATCTTACATTTGTTTACATTGAAATCAAGTAGCCATGAATTTGCCCACTTATCTAAATTTTCTAAATCCTTTTGTAAAAGTTTGCAATCTTCAATAGAGTGAATAGGCCTATATAAAATACAATCATCTGCGTAAAGTCTTATAGTTGAATCAATATTATAGGAAATGTCGTTTATGAAACATAAAAATATGATTGGACCTAAAATTGTCCCTTGTGGTACACCTGATTTTACGTCTACCCAATTAGAGTATTCACCATTGAGGACGACTCGTTGTGAACGATTTTTCAAAAAATTCATGATCTTTTCATCAAAAAATTTATGAAAACATTTATTCAGGATGAAATTGTGATCAGCAAAACTGTTTTCCATCATGATCTTGATAAACGACATACAACATCAAAATCTTTATAAATACAACCAAAAATACAACACAATATAGTTACACATATAACAATGCATAAACACTGAAATATCATACTGACATCAGGTTTAAACTGTATTATAATACAGAAAAAAGAGAGGGTTAGAATGTGAGAAAGCCCTGAACAATCACCAAACGAAAACGAGTGCACGCATTTCTCATTTTCATATCTTCAAGGTTTCTGAGGGCACAAATTGCACAGTTCAACTTAAAAAGTTCAATCAACTTAAAATATAGTAGGTTTCGATGTTCCAAATAATATGAAACCGTCAAATAAAAAAATCCGAAGAGAAGTGGATTTCTGAGATAAGTTAGATATTGCAACAACGATAGAGTCTTCTTTTCGAAGTACCTTAGCTTTACATCAAATAAGAGTGCCTTTACTTGTTTATGATCGTGCTAAATTCTACCACATACCCTGCTTGCCCCAAAGTTGTTAATTAAAAAGAAAATATTTGATTATTAAAGGGTTAAAAATGATTATGTTTACAATTATCAACAGCTTTCAACGTTTCACAATTGCAGCCTTCCAACAGGAAAAGGAGAAGTAACAAAACGTTAGACGTTACGATATTTTGTTTTCTACGAAGTTTTGAAAGGCTGTATGTCTTTCCCACTAATGTTGCCTTGCCTCCGAGTTCTTTAAAAGGCCTTAGATGCTTAGAATATTCGGAAGGTAAATTTATCTTGGTTCTTGCTCTGTCTTTAATGAAGAAAGTGTGTATGACAAAGCATCCATGGTTTTCCAACACGATGATTCGATTCTTTTAATCTTTCTTGAATCAAGTTTACTCCTCCAAGAATCAACGACCTTTTTAGTATCACGCGTCCTAGAAAAAGGATCTTTATTACCCTGAATATTGTTTACGCCTTGAGTATTTTTTTTAATCCAAGATATTACATTGTCGTGTAACTGCATGCCAAGCTTGCCATATATTCGCTTCGTTTCGCCGATGGGATCTTGAGCTAAATCTTCAAATCGAACTCTTATGTACCTATCTTTCAGCCATTCAGGAGTACTGGAATCGAAAGCTATATTCCGCTGCATGTGATCACACAGGTCCAAGACCTCGTCTGCTCTGGGACCCTTCCGTCGGAGAAGATCTTTATTTGGTTGTTTTAGACTCCATCTTGAGTTCATGACAGCCCTTGGATCCCTTACGAGGTGAAGAATCTTGACATTCAAGCCAGGATCCTCAATAAATGTCTTCAATTCAGAGATATTCTGGACCCGGATTGTCTTAAGAACAGTGTAAGGACGATCATTGCATAAGTCATTCAAGACAGATCCTATCTTAGGCTCAGGTATAAGTAGCACTGGACAAAGCACAGAAGATCCCTTGATCGCTGCATTGGACTTACATGAATCAAATGATTTTTCTCCGCGGTTCAACCAAGAACGACTGGATGGATACTCGTCTGAAAAGTTACATCTCAATGTGTGATTCCAAACATCTTTGGCAATCCTGGTGAACTGATCATTTTTTAATGTATGATCTAATACAGATTTCATGGGAATATAGAGAGGTTCGTATAAATAAAAAACATGTGGGTTGGCGTTAAACAACTCTCCAACGAATGATGAACCAGATCGTTTGGCGGTAACGATTACTACTTGGACACTTGGATTTGTCGTCAGAGTTTTGCCAGTCAACTCATCATGCGATTCTTCTTTTCTGCGTGGTGGGGCCAATATCTCATACTGGTCTAGACGCAGATCTTTGTGCTTAGACTTAGACGTAGATGGGGTTGGTGATTCTGTTGTTTTCAGCCGGGATCCTTCAGAAGAATCATCCTCATTCTCAGACAGCATTTGTAGTATGTCATCGATCCCATCCTTTCCTGTGGAATTAGACTCGTAGACCAGTCGTGTCTGGTTTGTTGTGTAGATGCCGAGGTCTGTACCGGACTCGCTTTCTCTGTGTCTTGGGATTAAGGCATATTTACCTATAGATGATAAAATGAAGAAAAAAAAACTTGCTCTTAAATTCTTGAAGCGAAGTATTGTTAAGAGATACAGATTCAAAAATTGAAACAAGACTATCAAAATGCTCCTCAAGTGCTAGCGACTTTGTAACAATTTTCGTCTATTATATTTGGAAAGAATAGGAGCAAAATATTGGTCTAACCTCACAATCTTTACTGATTTTCAGATTTTTCGACATGATTAAAGCCTCATCTCTCATTTGAAAGGATTAATCGGTAAAGACTAAGACTAAAATTGAAGGATGCAACAATACACCCTATTTAAGGGGTGATGTCATGTAATGTCATTGAAAACATACAAATGTTAAATTTCGCTTTTCGAGTATAATATTTAATCAAATGTGACATTATGAGCGGATCAAGTTATAACCCCATACTGTACTATTCCCTATCTAATTGTTGCTAGAATTGCGTTCATTCTTTATTAGAACAATAATCCACTTTGTCGCAGATCATATTTGAATCTTCTATACTTCATCAGGAATCTGAAATACGTGAATTGAAATTTGTTAACACTTTTAAACGTAAATACAACAAATATTTGATGGACTTATATTACTGCTAGCTAAAGATTTCAATGGAATGTGTTTTGAGTTCCTTTGCTAACTATGCAATATCATTTCAATTTCAATGGTTGTTAAGTTCATTATATTTTACATGTAATTGTGATTTGTTTTACTTGTTATTATAGCTTGAATTAAATCATAAGACTTTTTTTTTTTACCCTGTATGTTTTATTATTGCTTGGCAAAATAAATTGAATTGAAGAATATGACCGCGAGTTAAGCTACCTTACCATGTTTTGTAGCTCTTAGCAAATATACATGAATGGTTTCTCTACTTTTTAAAAAGTACAAGTATGATATTTAAAGCTCAACTGCCGTAGTTTACAGGAGGGATTAGACTGCCCTGCAAGGTCACTGGACAGGTGGTTATCTCATCAACTCAGCTCTCAGTTAACATAAGAAAAAGAGGATCATGGGGGACCAATGGTCACCGATTAGGCATTGTTTGTTATATAGAGGGCGCAAGTAGCTACAAGTAGTGCAGTGGGCCTTTAAAGAGAAAATTTAGTACTGGTAAAGATTATTAAAAAATATTACAAAATTATAGGTGAGATTTTGTATCTTTTTTTTGTCTGTCAGTTCTTTGGGAAAATATCCAAATAGAAATGTCTCCTGCAAAGTATATTGCTCTTAAATTGCCGTTGTTTTCCAAATAAGAAGAGCTAAAAAGTTTGGTCCATTTGTGCACAGCCCCACAATACAACGCTACGTCCTACGTGCAGTATGTGATCAGCAGCAAGGACGGGTATCTTAATTTCGATTATTTGACAATTTCAAAGTATACATTAACTCTTAGTTCATTCTTTAATGAATTGATTTATTAATTAAAAACGCGAAAAGGGAACTAAGTGCTATTTTCCATTCGTTTCCAGTGTGTTCACAATGCATTCGCATTTACCTTGAACTGTATATAAAAAGGAAAAATTACCGCTTTAAAATGATAGGTCTTGTTGTACATAAACGATTTACCAAACTCAACAAATTATTTTAATTTTAGACTTTTTGCCGATGATTCTAACTTGTTTCATACGTTTCCACCGAGACAGAATTTAATTGATATGGATAATATAGTTAATATGCATCTTGACAAGGTGACCAAATGGTGTAAGGTGAATAAACTTACAGTCAATCTATTAAAGACTAATTATTTGTTAATAAGAGGGAGTAGGCAATCAGTAGTGACTCAAGGGGTGCTAAAAATAGCAGAGACTGAAATAGCCCAGGTTGATGTTGCATCATTTGTAGGAATTTATATAGATCAACACTTGACGTGGAAACCTCATATCCAAAGGGTTAATAAGTTTATTAGGAAAAGAGTTGGTGTTTTATATAGATTAAGACAGTTTGTGCCAAGGCGTGTTTTATTGTTACTGTATAAGACGTTAATCCAACCGCATATGACCTACGGAATTGAGGTTTGGGGAAGTAATTATGAAATGAACATGAAGTGTTTATTATTAAGCCAAAAGATGGCACTAAGAGTTATAACGTTTAGTCCAATTAGGACTCATTCACAACCGATATTCCAGGAGCTAAAATTATTGAATGTGTATCAACTCCATAAATTATCTGTTTGTGTTTTTATGTATCAATTATTGAATGATAAATTGCCACAGTCTCTAATTCAGTATTGCTGTTTCATAGAGCACAACTATGAAACTAGACAAAGAGAATGTAAGAAGTTAAGTGTGCCTAAAGTAAGGACAACGCAAGGTAAATTTTCAATGTCATTCAGAGGCACACGCTTTTGGAATGATCTACCCCTTTCTGTAAGGGAGAAAGCATCAGTGTCTTGCTTTCGTAGAACTCTTATATCACAAATGTTAATAGAATAGTTGTTTATAACTTAGAACCAAGGCTCTTGCCTTTTTGTAAATATTTTGTTATATAATTCTTCATCTTTTATTTAGTGTAAAATACCAAAGCTTTGTATATAAGCACAGAACACATTTACCCTAGATGTAGAATAGTTTGTAGCTTAGGTATGAATTCAATAGTTATTCATATTTATTCATTACATTCTCATTTATTGCTGTGATATTTTTTGTGTGTTAGTAGTACTAGACACGATTAGCATTAAATGCTATTTTCTGGTCCCATTTATCCTTTCAATGTTAATTAATCATTCACATTTGATTGTTATATTGATGTACTTTTTGTTTTGGATAATAAACTTCAAACACAAACTCAAACTCAATTATCAATGTGTGCATAATATTTCGTTATTCAGTAATTCAGTGTTTTGCATTTACCTTGTTCAAAAAGCAAACCATACGCAATGATGAGTAGACATACTGCGAAGACTAGCGACGCCCATGCTCTGAACGTGAAAGACTTCAAGAACATCTTTGCTTGACAGACGGTTGTTGCAGAAGGACGGGGGAGGGCGCTGGTCAGTAGATTCCTCCTTGAGCAAATGGTATTAAAAAAAAACTTTATGAAATATAATCTTGAACGGATAACATTGTGAAAAGGAAATTGGAAATTAACTGAAATATTTTTAACACACAAGGTTTTCAAGTTCATTTGTGAAGAATGTTTGCATTTAGAAAAGACGGATTGAGTGGGGTAGTTCCAGAGCTGAGATGCAGAAAGCCTGAAACAATCAATGATCTGACTTCCCCTACTCCTCTTTGCTCTTCATTCTTTACTCTTCATTCTTTGATCTTCATTCTTAGCTCTTCATTCTTGGATCTTCATTCTTTGCTCTTCATTCTTTGCTTTTCATTCTTTGCTCTTCATTCTTTGCTTTTCATTCTTTGCTCCTCATTCTTTGCTCTTCATTCTTTGATCTTAATTCTTTGCTCTTCATTCTTTGCTTTTCATTCTTTGATCTTCATTCTTTGCTTCTCATTCTTAGCTCTTCATTCTTTGCTTTTCATTCTTTGCTTTTCATTCTTTGCTTTTCATTCTTAGCTCTTCATTCTTTGATCTTCATTCTTAGCTCCTCATTCTTTGCTTTTCATTCTTTGCTTTTCATTCTTTGCTTTTCATTCTTAGCTCTTCATTCTTTGATCTTCATTCTTAGCTCCTCATTCTTTGCTTGTCATTCTTTGCTTTTCATTCTTTGGTTTTTATTTTTTGATCTTCATTCTTTGCTCTTCATTCTTTGATCTTCATTTTTTGCTTTTCATTCTTAGCTCTTCATTCTTTGCTTTTCATTCTTAGCTCTTCATTCTTTGATCTTCATTCTTAGCTCTTCATTCTTTGCTTTTCATTCTTTGCTTTTCATTCTTTGCTTTTCATTCTTTGCTTTTTATTTTTTGCTCTTCATTCTTTGATCTTCATTCTTTACTTTTCATTCTTTGGTCTTCATTCTTTGCTCTTCATTCTTTGCTCTTCATTCTTTGCTCTTCATTCTTTGCTTTTCATTCTTTGCTCTTCATTCTTTGCTTTTCATTCTTTGATCTTTATGGAAAAAATTATTTTATTAGATTAATTTTATCCTACAGGGTTGCATAATGTTAATCCTAGTCAAATATTCTGTGTGAACTAAAAGGAAGTCCGAGCATTACTCAATGACTGTTTTAATCACAGTATGGGCATATGGGAATACATACAGTGTACTCTTGATTTGCTTTATGATTATTGTAAATCTATATTTGGTCGGATTGATATTAAACTTCTCTTTCCCGGAATTTGAAAAACACTTTTCTGGCTTCATATTGCAATCATGGTGTACGAGATGGTATATATACATACACTGTCACTCATATAGTTGGAATATTTGTTTTTACCCCGCTTTATGGAATTATTTAAAAAATGATTTATTCCTAATAAATCTAGATAATAGTATACATTTCTCTGTGTGCCATGCCTTGAGCCATAATGCATGGCCGTACAGAGGATTTTTTATGTTGGAAACCGACGGGAAATTTAATAAATTATTGAAAATTTATTGCATTTTCTTTTTTTCTTTTTATTTGTGGGAACTGCCCCCTACACTAGCCCCCCACTGCGTACAGTCATGGTTCAGTGACAAAGCAATGGCCTCGTAAGGTAACCCGAAACATGCTCCGCCGACGATTGCTCCGCCGACATTTACTCCGCAAAACGCGACAATTGCTCCGCGACATTTTCTCCGCGACATTTGCTCCGCCGACAATTGCTCCGCCAACATTTGCTCCGCCGACATATGCTCCGCCGACATTTGCTCCGCCGAAAATTGCTCCGCCGACAATTGCTCCGCCGACATTTGCTCTGCCGACATTTGCTCCGCCGACAATTGCTCCGCAAAACGCGACAATTGCTCCGGTGACAAATGCTCCTCGAACGACAGTTGCTCCGCCGACATTTGCTCCGCCGACAATTGCTCCGCCGACAATTGCTCCGCAAAACGCGACAATTGCTCCGGTGACATTTGCTCCGCCGACAATTGCTCCGCCAACAGTTGCTCCGCCGACATTTGCTCCGCCTGAAGCGACACTTGCTCCGGTGACATTTGCTCCGCCGACAATTGTTCCGCCCAAAAAGTGTCCCATAAAATACAAATGCTACTAGTACTACGACAAATGCTTCGCCGACAATATTTTTATTTTCACGGGTTATTTTCTTTCTTTTTTTTTCTTCATTTTCTGAATGCATTTCATGAAATAATGTAGATGAAATGAAATGAATGCATGTTGATGACAATAATAATAACTAGATTTGTAATACTTGTTTTGAATAAGTATAGGTGCTCTGGTCTAACTAAAATTTGAGACAAAATAAAGGGCAAATTTAAGATAGTTTATTGTCTCAGCTACAACATACTCGAATTTCAGCGTAAACGAAGCTAAAACGACGGAGATATTGCTCGCGAAAGACGGAAATGTAGAACCCAGTTTTGAGAAAAAGTAATGTCCCTTAGAGAATACACGCAAAATGTGAGAAATTGACATGCCTCCTTTAGTCGCGAAAATACGACATGATGATTTATCAAAATGAAAAATCGTAACAACATTTGTAGAAAATTGTCTCAGCTAAAACATATCAAAATTTGGAACAAAATTGATCAATATTTACAAAGATACAATCAATTTTCCAAAAATATGCTGACGTCATAATATGCAAATTGAAATTTTGAGTTCGGAGGCCATTATGATGGCGTCATGAGTTAATTTAAGGTCAAATGAGACATGAAATCATATCTCCGATTCATACTCCATCAAAATATGAAAAAAAATTGGGGTCACCTTGCATCCTAAAGAGCTACAATGGATTTTGCATAGGCATGTTTTTGCCCATATATGCTTTGTATTACAAGAGCTCGCGCGCACGGAAATTTATCTTTAACGGTCGATCATTCCGTCATTAATAGTCATAAAGAGATAAACATGGTATCAATTTTTTTGTAAAAATATGTGGAATATTATGAAAGAAAAAAAATGGCGATTCTATGTTGTGCAATAGTTTTACGCGCGATAACGTGCGCGCATTCGCATGTGCGCGATTTTTTATAAAATGCTTAGAATGGCCTAAAACGTATGCAAAATGATTTTGAGACGATTTTGAGGATTTCAAAATTTTGCGCGCGCATTGACGCACGGAGGTACGCGCACGCTCGCGTTCTTTGACCTGAAATTGACCGGACGCATATTGTCCTTGATCATGATAAATATGAATGAGAAATAACCTTTGGTTATGAAGATATGATCATGTGTTGATTTTCATCAAATTTTACAAAATGGCGCCTAGATGACGTCATCAGTGAAGGTCAATGTTGAAAACGTTATTGTGCTTTGTACATATGCATATAAGGGGGGGGGGGGCAAATTTGAAGGTATTTGATTGAGCCATTTTCAAGTAATCGTGCTTACAAAAAAAGTGGTTCGAAATAGGAAAAATAAACTAGATTTGTAATACTTGTTTGGAACAAGTATAGGTGGGCTGGTCCAACTAAAATTTGAGACAAAATGAAGGGCACATTTGAGATAGCTAATTGTCTCAGCTACATCATACTCAAAGTTCAGCGTAAACGAAGCTAAAATGACGGAGATATTGCTCGCGAAAGACGGGAATGTAGAATCCAGTTTTGAGAAAAAGTCATGTCCCATAGGGTTTACACGCAAAATGTAAAAAATTGACATGCCTCCTTTAATCGCAAAAATACGCCATGATGCCTTTGTCAAAATGAAGAATTGTGTATACTGCATTTGTAATGAATCGTCTCAGCTAGAACATATCGAAATTTGGAAGAAAATCGATCGATATTTACAGAGATATAATCAATTTTTTTAAAATATGCTGATGTCATAATATGCAAATTAAAATTTTGAGTTCGGAGGCCATTATGATGACGTCATGAGTTAACTGAGGGTCAAATGAGACATGAAATCATATTTCCGATTCATACTCTATCAAAATATGGAGAAAAAAATTGGTCTGTATTAGATACAGCCCACCTAATAAATAAATAAAGGCAATTCTAACGAAATTATAAGGTGGTCTGTACGATATACAGCCCACCTGATAAATAAATAAAGGTAATTCTAACGAAATTATAAGGTTGTCTGTACGATATACAGCCCACCTGATGAATAAATAAATAATAAAGGCAAATCTAACGAAATTATAAGGTGGTCTGTACGATATACAGCCCACCTGATAATAAATAAATAAATAAACGAAGGCAATTCTAACGAAATTATAAGGCGGTCTGTACGATATACAGCCCACCTGATAATTACAAAAATAACATTAGTAACACCACCAACCATAATAATCATTGTTGTCATTGTTATTGTGATACTGCTTCTAGTACTACTCCTATTACATGTACTAGGGTTTGTTTGTTTGTTGTGTTTGATTGATTTTATTTCTGCGTTCAAAAATATACAAATTCAAAGTCAAAGTACAAAATTTCGAACAATAACAAATACAATGAATACAATGTTTACAAAAGTAATTAAATGAAAAATCATGTTCAATTATATCATTCGATAAACATGTACGAAGCATACAATAACATAAGAAATATGAAATATTTTCAATAAATTAGAGAGGTAATTTGGAACGCAGGAGACCACCATCGTGAGCGGTTAGGCTGGAGATGGATGGCGGCCTCGTAAAAAGAATTGGCGACATAACTCTCTTCGAAAAACTGAGTGACCAAGAGGGTGCGGTGCAAGTGCAGGTGCAGTGAGCAGTTGCATGATAAAGAATAAATAAGTCACGGTTTTGTTATACTAATTTAGAGAGGGGGAGCATATGATTGTATTATTTGTCGTTTAAGTGTAGCTTTTAAGGAGTAGATGGTTGAACAAGACTTTATGTTGTCGGGTAAATCATTCCAAATGTCCGGGCCAGAATGTCTAACATATTTGTGTGTTATTGATAATTTGGGGTTTGTAAGATGGAAGTTTCCAGATATGCGAGTAGAGTATGAATGAACGGAATTATTAAACCTAAACATGTTATCAAAGG